GACGTCACTCTTATTAGCATATTGGAAGTATAAACCTTCATCACTTAGAGACGCATCATTCAAATCAAGAAATATTTTACCAATCAACTATTTACCTTATGCAGAACCAGTACTGAAAGTATTGTCAAAGGGTTCATTTGCACTTAAAAGATTATGCATTGTTAGGATGTGTTATTTGGTTTCACATTGTTCTGATTTTTTTACACCAGCTTAGAGTTGATGCTGGATGTTTCCCAATAATTCAGAACTTCAACGCTGTAGCAACTAGATGCTGGGTATCATTTTAAAAGCACTACTTGAACACTGTCTTCTTGTAGTACTGAAGTTCTCTTATACTTTCTTTAATATCATCAGGAGCCCTAGGAGTGAATAAATAGAAATATTAGAACATCATTTATTTATTTATTTATTTCCCACTTTTTATCCCATTTTTTTTTCATCTTCAATAACATGCATTCATACCTATGATTTAATGCCTTCCTTGGAGCCTCTTTATATATCTTGGGATGCCATCGCCTGAAATCATAAATTCTCCTTTTTCTCCTGACTTTGATCAGCCCAGAGGCTTTTTCAGGGTTTGATCTGAGTAAGCTGTGCCCTGCTGACTTTGATCAGCCCAAAGGTTATCTAAGGGTTTATCTCAGATAGCTGTAACCTGTCTTTGATCAGCCTAAAGGTTATCTAAGGGTTTATCTCAGATAGCTGTAAACCTGCCTTTGATCAGCCTAAAGGTTATCTAAGGGTTTATCTCAGATAGCTGTAACCTGTCTTTGATCAGTCTAAAGGTTATCTAAGGGTTTATCCCCGGGGGGGGGGGGGTACTCCCATATATGAACTATACGGGGATGATCCGCTGAACAGGGTATTGTTTTTCGAGCTTCTTGTCATAAACAGGGTATGCAATTCCACTCAAGGTCCAAATTCTTCCTGAGTTTCATGTCATATTCAGGATTTCTACTTTCGTATTGACTGAAACTGGTTACCATGGTAGTAAAAAAATGATACGTGAGATGACATGATAATTGAAACAGGAACTCAGTGCAATTAATCATATCTTTTGTCATAAACAGGGTCTACAAATACAATTTTTTTTGTCATAAACAGGGTACCCCTTTCAGAATCCCAGCRGAACACCCCTACCCAAATTCTGGCGGAGTACCCCCTGGGGGTTTATCTCAGATGGTACGATTTTCACCTACAACTACCGCATACGACACGCTCGTGTCTGTCGTAGGCGAGTTGTAGGCTTGATTTACACACTACGACTCAAGTTGTAGGATGGCATGAGTGTGTTGTATACGATAGTTGTAAACGAAAATCATACCATCTAAACTGGCCTTCAGATTGCTGTAACCTGATTTTTATGAGTCTAGAAGGGGTTCAATAAAATGAATTTTACCTGCACAGTTCTTTTATAGAACTGACATCAACTATACGGTAATGTAAATGATCCATAAACGTAGGCATGTATTTCTTCAGGAATCTTCTGTCTTCATGAACAGAGTTTCCAGCTAATGGGCAATCATGGGGAGGGACATATCGCTTCACAAAATCCACCATGATTTCTTCTGCTCTTTTTAAAGTTATGTTTGAAGCTTTTACAGCAGCTGTTAAACCTGACTGAAAAATGACATATTTCAAGTTCAAGATAGGGAGTTCAATTCACCCTTTCGGCGCTAGCCATCACGGGGTATAAATTGTTTTAGATTATGTTACAGTCACCAAAGAGTTTGGACATTGTTCTCGAATTTCCGTACAAATGTACTGACTCTAAATGAACTATTTACTTGGTTCATGTTTAGTTAGTTCTCCAAAGACAAGAAAATGATCATTTTTCTAGATTGATTGAAGCTATTCTTACTGCTGTTAAGATAGCTAACTAAATAAATCTACCTAAATTTTCTCTTTAAAGTCAGTGAATTTGTATGGGAATCCGAGAACGATGTCCGAACTTTTTGGTGACCGTAACACAATCTAAGCTAGCGCTGAAAAGGTCAATTCAACGATTCAATAGGTTCTAAGAAAGATTAAATGAAGTTTCACTCTGGGATTCCTGTGCTTTCCTCACACCACAGGCAACCCAGCCCTTACTTTTTCATGATGTTTCTTGCACCATTCTCCCATTTCATTAAGTACTTCATCTGACTGATGAATGACAACATTGGGAGCCTAAGAATAAACAATAAAGAAAGGCTTAAAAAACAAGTAAATCACCCTAAATTRGTTTGTATATTTATTTACATCTTAGAATTCGAAATTAGTACAAGACTCTATAGGCCATTTCAATTTCTCTCCACCTTCCCAATGATCCGCACAGATCCTTGTGTTTGAAGACATAATCTTCAGATTGTCATTTTGAATGAGAAAAATGATTGTATTTTTTATGCAGTTTTAAGTCCATTGGCAAGCAATATAACTTGAATTCTGGAGCTTGGTTCCTATGGCTGTTGCTACATCCTGGCACACAGCAGTTATACTTTGGCATTTTTGTTTACGAAGGTTAACAGTTCGATTCACTAAAAGAATTTGGAAGAGATCGAAGGCACCTAGTTGAATCCTGTCCCTAGTAATGATCCCATAAGCACTTGCAAGGTGAAACTCGACCCAGTCCCCAACTCGTTTTTGAAATGGGCTATTATATTTGTTTATACTTATAGTCCCAATATTCCCCTCCAAGCTGCGTGGATATGCAGCTTATTATACTTTATTCATAGAATCCCTTCCTCATGAGGCTGGCATTGGATCTAACTTTGATTCCTCTATATGACATGGGTACATGGATATTTATCAAATCATATTTACTCAGGGTCACAAACAGATGAATAAATGCATAACATTACAAACCTCAGCTATTATGTTGAGGTCAGCATCTGTGATTAGACATGACATCTCTATGATATGACAAGTGTCTGGATCCAAACCTTTAAACAACAATTAATAAATGATATCACTAGTTTTTAGGTTTTCTGGTTTTCTTTTCTCTGAAAAAAAAATCCCCTTAATTCCAATTTGATCTGGCATCACAAAGCTTAATATGAGCCTCTTGCTCAGGAAACTGAACATACACAATCAATCCCTGCATATATAATGTAAAATAAAATATGGGAATATCTTATGCACCTATCAGGGGCTTCCCCATGGGGTCGACCCCCAGTCTGACCAGGGAGATGGGTGGGAGAATATAGGAGGATTGGATCCAGTTATTCCCCCTGGGGTTAGGAAAATTTGAGACATTGGTTTCGTGGCTAAAAACTGAGGTGGGGGATTGTAATGAAATTATTTTCATTGTGGAGGTTACCAGGGGGATTGATTCTCCTCTCTAGTTAAAGAAATAGCTCCTGATTTAAAAAAATTTGAGACCACAGACGTTTTTGGTCAGGATGGGTTACCTGTGTTATTCGCCAATACCCAGATGCATCTCTGCTCGTCAAGATGGCTGACGAGGTGAGAGAGTTCCACTATGAAGTATGTTTTTTGACATTCTTTGTTGTTTCATAGATACAAATTCGAAGGCAACTTGATTTGTTTTACTTTTAAGTGTGAATTCTTCAATTCATGAGAGTTTTTTCAATCTTTGCAATGAAAAACTACCTGAAATATCGAGCAAACCGCATGGGTAACTCGTAGAGTTCAGTTTTCAAAATACAATAACAATAATTTCAACCAAAGTGAGGGAGATTGTAAATTTGAATGCCTCGACCAGGGGATATTGAAAAGAACAACTTCTCTACCCCTGGGAAAAATGATCAACATTATTGTTTATGAATTTTTACAATCTCCCGGGGATCGACCCCACGGGGAAGCCGCTGATAGGTGCATTACCCCACTATACTCAAGCTTACCTGTCATCTTTGCCACGACATGACATGTTGTGAAATAACAAAATAGAAGAAAAAACAAAGCAATATAAACAAAAGTTTGAGTTTTGAGTTTTCATGCAACAAAGTCTAAATTTTCAAGTTTCATACCTCCAAATCTACCCAAACCAGATTATCTCTGTTCATGGTGTTAAAATTCAGATAAGGAGTAGTTGCAAAAAGCCTGGTTAGTGAATAAAATGCCCTCTTAGTAAGGAGATTCGATACTATCCTAACACCATGCATAAGGTGCACGTGTGTGTAGAATAAAATGCACTGTAGATACAGCAGGCAAACGAGCAATCTCGTACCCAGAACCTGCGTTTCTTCTGGTCTGCGGCGAAGAACGAGGGCTCTGGCATAATCCATTCTTTCTTGGACTTCCGGTATAAGAGCGCATACGTTAAAAGACTTGCCAAAAATGAAAAAAATATGTTCCCGATTTCTAATTCTTATTTTGATCGAAATAAACACAGATCTCTGTTTGAAAGGAGGTTTGAAAGCATGATTTTCATTCATTATATTTCACTTCCGGAAAACTGCTCATGCGCCAAAAATGGATTATGCCAGAGCCCTCGTTCTTCGCCGCAGGGCTGTACGCACACCCGAGATGAGACTAGACACTAGTTCCCAGCCCTAAAGCCGCGCAGCGTGGTACTTTTCCAAAACATTCCATAAATTCTTACACCATTGTGCATCAGAAAAATTACCCTCCCCTACAAAAGATGGAGAGATATAACCCGTTTGGCTATTTTAGAGTGTAGATATCAAACTTGAGATGTCGACTGAGTTATATACACCGCGATCGTACCCGGTTTCGACGTCTCCGCGCGATTTTGGTTCGACGTACAGTTGTTCGAGTTCAGAAGCGTCTTCTCGGCTGGCTGCGCGACTTGAAAGATCGGAGTACAAGCGATCTCGTGGGAAACAAAGGCTAAAAGACAATTATAACTCTTCTAGGAATCACAGTAGACGAAGAGAGAACAGGGGAAGTAAGAGAAAGAATAGTCCAAAGAATATTTTAGCCACAAGGGAAACTCGAACGAAAAGGTTGGTTTGTAGCTTTTACTGTATGATCAACTACAAAATGTAACTATCTATAGGTTTGACTTCACTTTATCTAGCAGTGTTATCGGTAAGGTTATGCTTATTTAGTATTACAGATTGCTTAAAGATATATGGCTTTTTTAAACGGCTTGAATTAAGAATCTTGTATTACTGTAAATGGTAATGTACTGTAAGGGTTGTATGATTGTGTAGTACATGAGAACGAGTCAATCCATTACTATTTTTAATTCGTCTATCATTTGCGAGCTTAACGAAATCGTAAAAAATATTTCCTAAGGTTTAATGTAACCATGGCACTGACAATTGTTTCCCAAACCGAACTGCAAAAATATGCGTAATTATCGTCTGACTAAAACTACAAAGCCTCATTTAAATAAAGTTGAATAGTTAGTTGATTGTGCAGACGGCATTTTCGACAAGGCGTGCAACATTTCAATCTATTGTGACGATATTGGTTAGTCATTTCCGTAAACAAAGAGTACTTCTCTTCATGTAACTGCTATTATATTAGTGATTTATTATTGACTTATCATAATCTTATTGGCTCTGTCAAATGATTCAAAACTTCATTGAGTAATTTGAGAGATATTTTTTCTTTGTTCCTCAGTGAAGAAGATGGTGTCACTTCAGTTTGGGAAGTTTATCGACAAAATCCACATCAGTTTAGTGAAGAAAGAACATATACTTTAGATAAGCCCAGAAGCTGGTATGGTGTACCTAATGAGATGCAAGACCCACAAAAGAGGCCAAGAAGTATGCATGATAAACCAATGGCAGACAGAGATTTTACACCCCCTCATTCTCCAAGGTTGTCAAGGAGACAAGAACCAAGGAATTCAAATAGCTATGAGTATTCTAAATCTCCACTTCATAGTGAAGACTTTCAACCTAAAAGGACTGATGCAACACACAAAATTAATGGTGATAATTCGTATCAAGGACATAAAACTATGAATAATTACGACGCAAACCAGTATCAAACCACACAAAATAGAAATCTTGACAAAAAAGGAGTATATTTGTCAAGATCTCTATCATCTAGTTATAGTTCTAATGTTGGATCTTCTGACGAAAGAGAAGACTCTCAAGGAATATACTCAGCATATGATATGGCAGGTAGATCCCCGTATGACTCAATGCTCAACAGACGTTACAGTCAATCAAGTCTTAGTTCTTCAAATGCCTCGTGGCACCACTCTGGCTCTTCGTTTAACTACAATGTTAGAGATATCCCGCCATTACTGGATCCTATTGATAAATCACAGGAAAGTTCTCTGTTGGAAAGGCCTTCTGAGCAGAGTGAATATGACAGACATCTAAGAGAAGAGTTCAGGCTTGTTAAAGAAACCCCTGCTAAAGTTCCACCACCAGTAGCTCCCAAACCTTCTAAATACAGCTCTAGTTACACAATACAACTGCATTCCTCTTCACCAGCCACTTGGAAAGAAAGTCATTTTCCTGATTTAATGACAGATAATAAAGAATCAAGCTTCCTTCAAAATCAACCACTTAAAACTCAACAGTGCTTAACATCCCCTGTAACACCTAAAACAATGGAGGGTAGTAACGAAGTTGATGGGAAGATAGTCTCCGTGCGTGAGATGGCAAGAAAGTTTACTCCTACAAGTGTAAGGCATATTTCCTCAGAGATTCATACAAAAACTATTTCAGGGGAAGACACTCGTAAGGTTAAAGCAGAGCACTGGCCTAAGGTTGTATCAATAATGCACCAGGAAAGTTCCCCTGCGGGGAACATTGAAGATATCCCCCCAACGAGGCCACCATATCCAAACGACAAGGTTCATAGCAGTAAAGGAGTCGTCATGCGCAACAAAGAGGAGACTCAAAAGAATAATGAAGAGCTTGCCTCACACAGATTAAGCCTGCACGAACTTATAAAACTCCATGAAGAACAGATTGCTAAGCAAGCAAAAAGTGCTAAGACAGTGTTAACAGCTAGTGTCTATGTGAAGCACTCCCCTTCTGATTCCAGTCAAGGTCAATCTAGGACACCTGAATATAATTATTTTGAACTAAAAGACCTTAAAACTGAACTCTCTCAAGAGTTTTCTCCAGTAAATAATATACATGAGAGTAATCAAAATCTCCTGAAGGATGAGAATGTCATGTCAATGGCTAAACAACAAATCAGGCATTCTGGTTATGAGGTTCGTGAAGTGAAAACAGAACAAAACTCTCCRTTCAAAGTTATAGAACTAACTGGCAAGTCTTTTGAGAACTTATCTAATGGTGGAACTAGAGACAGATCTCCTAGGGTTAAGAGACACCGTACTATAGGCATCGTTGGATACAGGCAACAAATTGATAGGACAGCAGAAGAAAAAGCACCAACAAAACAGAAAAGACATACTACGGTTGGAATAGTACATGATTTTAAGGAAATAAATGATACCAAAGCCGATTTGTCTGAAAGTCTTGTCATTAATGATGATAAAATCAAGCCTAGCCCTTCTAATGATTATGAGTCACAAAAGAAAACTAATGATAGACATCAAGAAGGAAGAAAAAAGCAGGAAGACCAGACAACTTCCATGCCAGTCAAAGTTTTTGATATTGAAAAAGGCCAAGACCCACAGAATCTAGCTCACATGGAGAAGACTGTGGAATCATATGAAGAGCCATCACAAGGTGATCAGTCAGATGGGAAGCCAAAGGAACCATTGATTACTACCTCACCCACAAACTACTGGTATAGTAGCTATGCTCAGAAAGACTTGTCTGAAGTGGACAAGTACATCCCAGCTATTTCAGTTTCTCCTGACAACTACAAGGAAGATACTTTACCAAGAAGTATAGAAAAGGAGCCACAAAAATCTTTGTTGCCGACATCAGAAGCGTACGCCAGAACACCTCAGGGTGCAGAATCAAGGAATTTGCACTCTCCTGTCATAGAACTTTTACAAAATAGAAAAGGGAATCCAACTGCATATTATAAGGCTGCAGTTCAAGTTGTCAGTCATTCAGTTCCTAGCAACCATAAAGAAAGAGTTTCTAGTACATCACATAGTGAACAGAAACTAGGTACTAGTTTTGATGACGTCTTTCACCAGTCTAAGCCATATTCAGTACCTGTAGCACAAGTTTCCCCCGTCAACCAAAATGAAATTATTCAAGCAAAAGCCATTCAGTTAGCATCCCCACCACCTGACCCTCCCTCAGCACACGAGATGTACGAGACTCGCCTTGCCATGTGGAACTTGCTGCCACACCAGAACAGGTTGACAGGAGATTTGACTGAGCATCAGAGTAACGAGTTGTCTTTTGGAGACAAATCTAAGCAAAGCCTTTCGTCGAAGGAAATTCCAAGATCACCATTGTATCGCAAAACTCCAACAAAAGATTATCAAGGCTTTGCAGAAAAACAAAACAGGTTTTCAGAATATCCCAGTCAAAACCAAAAAGATGAATACTACAGCAGAATAATTGAAAAATTAAAAGAGGAGAACCAAAGGCTGAAGGAGAAAAATGAAGCTGAGAAACAGGAATTTCGTAGAATGTATGAAGAGCAGAAAAAAGTTGCAAATGCTTATCAAAAGTTGGAGGATCGTTATAGAAGGAGGGTACATGAGCTGCAAGATGCACTGGCTAATTGTACCTGTCAAGGTAGCATCATGGTGAAAGACGGAAAGAATCCACGTGCAAACAAGTAAGTGTGTGGTTCATCTTGCCATAATAATAGGCAGTAATAGGGTGGCGTAATGGTAGATAGTGCACTCACCTATCACTATGGAAACTTGGGTTTGAATTTTGGCCATGGCATCAGATTTGAATACAGTTGGTTGGGTCTCCTTTTATTCTAGGTTTTTCTCTGGGTTCTCTGGTTATCCTCCCTGCACATAACCCAGCATAATGAATTCCACTTCAATCTGTGATTTAGCTGTGGCCTGACTTAGATCTGCCCAGAGATTGTTTCGGGGTTCAATCTGTGATTTAGCCATGGCCTGACTTGTATCTGCCCAGAGATTGTTTCAGGGGGGAATAAGATTGAAATTTGTTATAATATAACAATGCATTAACCAACCTTATTACAATGATATTTTGATTCTGTTGTCTACAGGAGTGACAAAGAAAGCCAGTCCTCCAAGACACAGTCAATTAACAGTGGGATGCACATTTTTGAGGAGTTGGAAGAGTGGTTAACAGAGCAATCCAAAAACACCAAGGCTTCAAAGGTTAATGCTACTAGTAGAGACAGCTTGATTAGCTCATCATCCGACCTGACCGGCTGGGATGATCATGTTGATGGTGCTATTGATCAAGTCAATGGAACGCATGTCTAGTTGGTCTAGGGTCAGAGATAGCTTGATTAGCTCATCATTGGACCTGACTGGCTGGGATGATCATATTGATAAAGCTATTGATCATCTGAAGCACATGTCCTAGGTAGCCTGGGACTATGCACATAGAGAACATGAAAAATACGATAAAAAATATTTTAATTCTAGAGGACATTTTTATACATATAGTTTTCAATATTATTAGTATATAAGAATAAGATTTATTCCAATGTTTCATAAATTGTTTATTTGATTATAGGTCATACATACTTTTATTCCTTCATGATGCATGTCAAAGTACCTTACAACACTCACAGTAAATCATTAATCCCTCCACAAAACACGCTAAATACAAATTCGATCTGTGAGTTAGCCATGCCCTGACTTRGATCAGCCCARAGGTTGTTTCAGGGTTTGATGTGTGAGTTAGCCATGCCCTGATTTTGATCAGCTCAGAGGTCGTTTCAGGGTATCAATATAAATTGAAGGATTTTTTACATCATCATCATCACAACATTAGTGAAAGACATAAACTACTTTCAAGTATGATTTATGGGTTAAAGAGTATTCTGTTATTTGACAGTATTTTGTAAGGGTATGTATGTAATTAATATCATGTCTATTCTTCTTTACATAGATCTAAGTATATTTTTGGAACTCTTTCATGTATTTTTCATCAACTCATGTCATCTCGGCTCATTAGGATGCAATAGAGATAATTTTTAACAAATAAGGTTACATCTGTAAATTTATATTATATATAGTGCTAAAATGGGTTATATGTATATCAGTGCAGAGAAAAGTTTTTAGTCAAAACATTTATTGATATGGTTATTACATTTAAGCTTATTTATGTGATATTGTTTAAATAAAAATACAAAGCAAAAATAAATGAATTGGGGTTATTGGCTATGCAAAGATTATTACTTCAAATCGTTTCTCAAAACATTCAAGCTTGGGCTCCCTGTGTATTTGCTTGATGCTAGGCACTTTAGAAAGAGACTGAGCGAGTCTTGAATTTTCATTTAATTGGTCACTTGAATTACAGCGTCATTACTACCACTACCATACTCCCTTGCACACTTTCTTTTGTTCAGTTAATTAGCACCAAGCACCAATATTGTCTTACTATTCTCATGAGGATATACAGATTTGAATAACACAAAATTTGTAAAGCATTATGGCAGGGGTGCCGGAAATTTTAATACATTTTCACTAAACTCAGCTCCCCCACCTTGCCATACAATGTCACTATTGAGCCCCCCCAATCAAAAAACTGCTCCACCGTCCTTGTATTGTAGTGGTAGTAAAAAGACATCATCATGCAGACAGCTTATATTGGTTGGCCAAAAAAATGTATTTGAGAAAGCATTTCATTAATTTTATTTGAGAAAGCATCTCAAGATTAATAAGTCTGTCATAATAGTTGAATATGTTGCAATGATAATCGGAATTACAGGCTTTCAAGGTGTCTAAAATTTATGAAATGTATGGTTACACTGGGGACAAGGGTACCTACTAACCATACAAGCTTTGTAAATTGTCTTCACAAATTGCACTCCCCCTTGGGTGGGAGGGGGTATCCCTTGCAAAGTTTTAAATAATCCTTGTGTGCAAATAAAAATTTGAATACGAAGGAAAATTCACCATCACGTGATGCATTTTGAATCCACCAAATGATGTTTCTACACCTGTAATATTTTTTTCAACCAGCCACTTTGTCCATAAATGTTGCCATCTTGATGTCATTCTTGGACAGTCCCCCACAGTCATGGGTACTAAGAGTAACCTGGACCTTACCATACACATTAAACCATTCTGGATGATGGTCCATTTTCTCTGCCATCAAAGCCACACGAGACATAAACCCAAAAGCAATGTTGAAATTTTTGAACTGAAACTCTTTGTAGATTGCATCTCTGCTGTTAACTTCTGACCAGCCACTTGCTTTAAGGCCAGCCAAGTCAGTTTGCCGTGCCTCTGGTGTAAGTTTTGTGGGCTTGGCAAGTGACTGAAAAATATTGTAAATTAAAATTATGGTCAAAACGTTAATTCTTTAACACAAAAATAACACAAAAATTATTTGAGCATGAAATGTGAAAAAAAAAATAATTCCTTGCTTTAAAACATGGCTTAGATAATGCCATTAACGATTATGAGTAGCAATAACTCTCAATTGGCCATTTTAGAAACGAGCATTGGAGCAAGTTTTGAATATCTAATTAACAATAAATTTAATTATCTGATAAGATTAAAATTCAAAACTCATCCCAGTCTCTTGTTAGTTTCTAAAGTGGCCAATTATCCTTCTAATTCAAGTTTTAGGATCGATGTCCCCCCTTTTAAAGTATCCTCCCTGCACACACAAAAAAAATACAACTTTTAATATGCATGCAAAACCATGGTCCTTCCTTGCCCGGTTCCTTGATACCCTCGATACCCTTTGATAAAATTGAAAGCCAATTCTTACCATTTTGCTCGAAGTGTGAATTGCTCTGACACCCAACAATCCACAGGGAAAATGAGTATTGCAAATTTTCAATATTCTCCAAGAATTTGCCATAAAACTTAAGACTCCACGATGAATACAACATCTGCCACGAGAGCAGTGATAGAATGCCGAAAATTATTTTCGGATAATTTTCGGAAGGTTTCGTAGATTCCCGTCGTGCTCTCTCGTAAACATTTCGTATTTAAAAGATGGCGGACGAAGTGAAGAAGAAAGAGGTCTGCGATGAAGAACTAGACGATCTTCTGGACAGTAAGTCTTACTAGTTTATCTCTTCAATCTTTAAGAGCGTTTGTAGTGCGTCGAAACTGTATGCATTTTCGAATGATCACCACTGATGTTTGCTTGTTTATATTATTTTACAATCAGCATCTCAGCACATTCGATTAGAATTTAGCTTATTAATGTTTTTAAGCTAACATTTGAAAAGATATAAATTTTAAAATCATGCTGTAAAAGTTCGATTATTGGCCCTTCGATTATTGGAAATGTAGTCCTTAATTTGGTTCAAATTATGCAATACGTCGTTTGATTTAATCAAAGGTCAAAAATCATATAATCTTCCTATTCCTCAAGTATGTCACATCCTCTTCTTTGTTTCGTAATTCGAGTACAAATTTCCGCAAGACATATGTATTTTAATTGTTCCTTTTATGAGCTACGTAAATAAGGAACTTAATCAAAAGGTACAACACTATCTTTCCCCACCCTTCCCCCTAGGACCATATTATTAGCACAAATTTTGTGCTCAAGGTCTTGTTTTCTCATCTTCAAAATAATTCAGGTGCCCTCAGTGACTTTGATAAACCAGCCGTTCCACCAACAAAGAAAGCAAATTCAGAGGCATTAGATGAAAGGAAAACTAATGATGAAACTACCGACCAGAAGGCATCTGGCACAGCAACCCATTCGGCAGATAACATGACACCCAGTAGTACCACTACTGGTGCAGACAACACAATGCCCAGTGAAGATGAGCTAAGTAAAATATTTGCCACAAGCTTTGCAGATGCTGCAGCAGACCTAGAAAAGGCCATGAAAAACATGGGAGGGGATTATGATCAAGATTTTGTCTCTCACTTGAATAAGTTAGCAGAATCTGCTAAGACTGCTGCTGTTCAAGGTATGAGTACACTTTCCATTTTATTTTTAGATCTGAAGCTTGAAGTATAATGTCATCATAAATGTTCTAACAATAGTTATTTTCATCAACCCTACTTATTTTGTTTGTTGTTGTTATTGGTTGCTGTAAAAGAGTTTCGTCATTAACTTTGCCTTACAGAACATCCAGAAGCTATGGGAGCATTTGAAGAGAACTTGGCCAAAACAATGAGTGATATGGCACAAAACACAAAGGATTTAGAGGTAAAGCGAATGAATATTTAGAGAGGAGAAAAGTGTACATAACCCATACTTTTGTATGATGTGAATCCCAAGTGCAACAATCTCAACATTAGGGGATTGTTTCTGGGTTTCATTTGATTAGGCAAGCCGATTTACAGCTATGCCATACTTACAATTACTCCTTGATAAATTCTTTGATGACATGGTAATCGTAAAATATATCTCAGTGTATATAACTTTCTCATACTCATTAATAATTCATGGCAACCAGCCAATCAATGGGCTATTTTTGGGTCACATGATGTTACTTGAAACCTAGAAAAGTCATGTGAAAGGACTGAATTCAGTCTGTAGTAACTGGAACAAAATTAATTCAGTCTGGATAATATCAGACTGGACGGGATTTCAAGTCCACGCAATTAGAACTAATTGCTGGGACTTGAAATCCTGTCCAGTCCTCATTGTCGGCTTTGAAATATAACTTTCTCAACTTGAATAACAGAACTGTGGTCCTGATCTTCTTGGCGATGATCTCCTTAAAGCCATGTCTGGTATGGGTGTGGATGGCAGTGGAGAATTTGACATGATGCCGTTGATGCAAGGGATGATGAAGAATCTTTTGTCGAAAGAAATATTGTATCCATCTCTCAAAGAACTTAATGAAAAAGTATGTATGTATAATTGCAATGTGTAAAGTAGCCAAAAAAGACCAGTTGACAGCAACATCGAAATAGGAAGGGGTTAATAAAGAGAAATTAAGAAATGTTAAGTAATATACTTGTCAGTATGAGATGCCGTGTTGTATCAGATATACAAACTCGAGGCGTAGGCAAGCGTTTGTATATCAGATGCAACACGGACACGAATACTGTAGATTACTTATCAAACGTCTAGGTTAGTTCCTTTGTTTCAAAATTAAAGTGAATCTGGCCAAGAAAATCCAACCTAAAGTTTATGCAAATGAACACAATTTTGTATCAGACACTCTTCACTGTTGTGATTTCTGTTGTGTTTTCCTCATGAATTATTAATGAGTTTGACAAATATTAATAAAAGTAATTTCAATTCCAGTACCCAGAATGGTTGGAAAGTAATAAATCTAAACATTCCAGTGAGGACCATGGCAGGTTTACCAGACAATACCAATTTGTTGGTCAATTATGTCAAGAGTATGAGAGTGAAAAACCAGATGATACAGATGAAGTATCAAAAAAGAGATTTGAAAAAATAATGGAGCTGATGCAAAAGGTAGATTTTTACTTCCTAGTAAAATTCAAAATAATTTTGTAAGTGACTCCCATCAAGCACAAAAGAGAGAAAACTATCAGTTATTGAATCAATCCATGATGCCTTCTAGAAAGTTTTGAGGAGCATCGTCATCTTTTCATTCCCAATTGTTTTCATTTCAGATGCAAGAATGTGGACAACCACCTGAAGAACTAGTTGGTCAAAATGTAAGTCAAGTTCACTCACCTTGCTTAGTTTCATACTGCATTAATTTGAACAAGTAATCTATTATTCCCACCTGGTTAACTACCCCAATAAAATTACCCAAATATATCTAAGAGAAAGGTACTGCCTTTGCTTTTAGCCATTCTGAGGTTAAAAAAAAGCTGAATCAAGTTGGAACTGCAGTGTCCCAGTGTGTTACTAAACATCAGGGGCCCGGTTGTATGAAGCCTGGATGGCTCTATCCAGGGGATAAATCCTTATCCACTGGATAAGTCAATGCTGTTATCCAATAAATTTATCCACTGGTCAAGATTTATTCGTTGGATAGCACCATCCAGGCTTCATACAACTGGGCCCAGAATGGCAAATAAAATCTGTTATGATTAGACCTTGGTCATGGATAACACAACAACTTATGTCAGGGTTCAGTCCATGGACCATAGCTCTTGTCATTTGTCATACTCTCTGAATACAAGTGACTTATTGGTCTTACATGTTTATTCATTTTTTCTGACCTCAAATATTTACTTATTTCTTTAGATTGCTGGCCCATTTCCACCAGAAATGCCAGCTGGCATGCCAGAAATGCCAGCAGACCTACAAGACCAGTGCAAAGTTTCATAGCATTTGGTTTGGCCACAAAATGCATCTCGGAACTCAACATCTATATTTTCTGATCTACCTCAAAATGTGGTAATATAAAATTGAAGTCAATTCACAAGGATGAATGGCAAGAAGCATTAAACCTTGATCAGATATTGCTGGAGAAACCTTTGCCTCAAAAAGACTTTATTTTATCCCTTCATAACACTGGTTTCTATTAAATCATATACCAGCAGTTTCAAGGCCTGTTTGCAAGATAATCACTTTTTTATGAAGACCTACAGCCAACCAATAAAATGCTTCAAATTTTAAGTTCAAATAAAACCTTAGAATTGTGTGGCTGCACTATTGAAACACTATGCATTAGAATCAAGAAAGAACCACAAAATGACATTTAAAATGGAGAGTTTGAAACCCATTACATTCTAAAGATTTAATCTCAATTCATCCTCTTCCTGGATCTTTGGTAGATCTCAGCCCTTTTCATTCCTGCCAAATATTCCTCCAGATTTCATTTAATCTTCAAGCACAACAAGGTTTGACATGTACTGTGAAGTTGAGATGTACTGTGTTCTTTTTTCTCTTTTTGCATGCCAAGAAATTTCAGAAACTCCCCCTGCAATAAAACCCCAGCTACTCTAAAAGTAGAACTATGTTTAATAAATATAAAGGAAAATATAAATAAAGTCCAAAACAAGATAGTGTTGAATGCTCTTTGAACTTTTATTCTAAATCTCTCATGTTCATTCACACACAACAATCGCTAAAAATCAAGTTTTACTAGTCTTAAAGGGTTGGGGGTATAAGGTTAGTCCTTATCCAGGCTTTAACACAGCAAAGTCAAGGGCAGTACCATGGCTTCATTCGTCAAGGGTTTCCTTGTCAAACTGGTACTCTCCCAGGCCAGGTCCAACACGCTTGAGGTTGGTAACATGTCCAGCAAGTTCTTTGATGGCCTCGACTTGCTCATGCAAGTAGTTAGCCTCAATGAAATCCATCATCTGATAGTATAACACAAATCATTACTCAACATGTTACGATACATGAGCTATACTCAAAAACAAACATGGTTAGCTTGATTACTGGTTAAAACAAAAAAGCAGACAAGAGAGATTATTAATTCAAGTATGTTAAATTKATATAAATTAAAACAGACAGTGCTCCACAATTTATGTTTATCAACATTTTATTTCAGTCACTTCCTTAAGAGGGCTACAATTTAAATTGATTAATCTCCAAGGGTCTCATGATCAAACTGGTATTCTCCTAAGCCAGGGCCTACACGTTTGAGGTTTGCAATATGCCCAGATATTTCTTTTATTGCCTCTACTTGTTCAGTCAGGAAGTTACCCTCGATGAAGTCACAGAGCTAAGAGAAAGAGGTATATGTGAACATTATTATTTCTACCCTACCCTTTTGTTTTAAGTTAGTTGCAGTGAAAACATGACAATGAAGCCAACATACTGGAGATACTCCAACAAATTGCAACATAAAGCCAGCAAAAAAATTGGCATCAACATGTTTGAATGATGTCATGATATCAGCATTGCTAGAATCCTGGTAGGGGTGGGGCTGGGAGTTGGGGTGTATTGCAGAGATTTTCTTAGAGTGCAAGATGGTATCATGATCACCACCACAACAAAAAAATATGCTTAGTTGAGTTCTCAACAACTTAATTTTTTCCATACCTGTGAATCACCATGCTTCTCAGCAACACAATGGAGATCAAGGAGAGCCTGGTTGACATACTTCTCCAAGTCAAGGGCAGCTTGCATTGAGTCCTGTCCTGTTCCCCATTCATCACGTTCTGGCTTCTGTAGATAGAAAATTGTATAAAATTTGAGTATTCCAACCCAATATCTTAATTTTCTTTTATAATCTTTTATTCTTAAAATTGTGTAGACCAACATGGTAGTCACGGCTTTTATCCTTTAATTTCTTAAGGGAATGGATGCACGCCACCAATATAATATTATAATAGCAGATGTCACGTTTCTCGTCCTCAACCTCATCAATTATTCATGTATTTTCTCAGTTCGAAACGAACAAGAATGATTTTATACGACTTTGCTCCAGATACACGACTAATGACGTTCTTTCTTATTTATCTATGAGCTAGTTTCGACTTTTTTTGGTTTTAGAAATCAAAAGTGTCAAAAAAATTTTAAATGCTTTTTCTAAATGCGCAAACGGCAAAGAACCAACATGGCGGACCAAGGACAACTTAGTCCGTCAGCAAAAAAAACGGCAATTTTCGCTATACCTTCACGTTCTGAAGCACAATGCGACCTCCACGCTGGTTTTGGAACTTCATGAGCTGTGAAAAGTGTAGAAAAAAGTTTAGTATCTTTAGAATATTTCGATGTTTGGGAAAACTTACGTAACGTTACTAGAGGAAGGATGAAAGACAACGACGAACAATTTTAATAACGATCTTACCTTTTCAGCGTGTTCACGCTCTTCATCAGAGGCTTTCTTGAAGTACTTGTGAAAGCCATTGAGGGCCACATCGTCACGATCAAAATGGTAGGCCTGTTTAGGGGAGAAAGCGAAATTTTGAGTGACCCGAAGGGATGAAGACTACGCAGAACAAATGCCTACTTACAATGGACATGTAGACATAGCTAGCGTACAACTCAAGGTTGATCTGCTTGTTGATGCCAGCCTCGCACTCCTCATGGTAGTTTTGACGACAGAGAGACATTTTGGGCAATTAAATTGACAAGAAAGTCCAGTAAAGTTGTTGTTAAAAGATATAACAAGAACGTACGTCACCTTACTTCTGTTCAATCACTGTTGAAGCAGAAACTTGGAACTGACGAGCACGGGAGTATGCAAGCAATTTATAATGCATGATCACGTGCGGTATTGTCAAAACATGATTGGCTAACCGATGTTACGTTATGATCACGAGCTGATCACGTGAAACAAAGTGCACCGTCATGGCCGAAGTACTAGCATATGATTTAATCTGGTTCGATGCAAGACACGAAAAATATTCGACGGCTTGTAAATAAACACCTTCACCCACTCCACTCTCAAAAAGAAAAAAAAAAGGTTTTACCTCCGGGAAAAGAAAAGGAAAAAACTAAAAAAACGTTTAAGTAAAGAATTGAAATCTTTAGAAGAATATATAGATGTCATAGACACGAAAGCCTCTACAAATGATGTTGCTTGATACAGGTTTTAGGCGGTAGTAGAATTTTAAAATTTGTAGTTGACACATAACAGTCTTCAGTCCTTTCACCATTCCAAGTTTTTTATTTTGAAAACTATGCAAATATATTTCAGTAATTGAACCCCATAACAAACAGAAATCATTAATTTTACATCACATTATGAAGCTTCTGTTTTTGCGTGCTGGACGCTTATTTCTGATTGAGTAAGTTCTTATCAACTTCATATTCTCCCAGACCGCCACCAACACGTTTGAGAGTGTTGACGTAGTTTGATAGAATCTTGATACCCTCTATTTGTTCGTTGAGGAAGTTCCCTTCAATAAAATCCATCATCTAAGAACGAAACAAAAAACAAAAGGCTAATAAGTTAGAAGAAATTGAAAGAGGAAAGCTAAAGGAAGCCCCATTTTATTTCCGCACGCCTCTACTTGAAGAAGGCTCGACTAACCAGCCAAAGAGGTTATGTGGCGTATCTTTCATTATTGTCACTAAGTGGCCCTATGCCAGTTAAAAAATATTCAATCACATTCCGTTCCAGGAAAAAAATACGGTGGCCAAATAGCCTGTGTACAGGGCAGTACGAACAACACCAAGATGGCGTCAATTTATGTCGAAACTTCTCTTACATAGAGTCCGCCATCCAATCAAATACACTTGCTAATGAGTTTTTTTTTTGTTTGTTTACCTGGACATCATTCGCATTTTCTGCAGCTCTGTGAACCTTCTTTAGTGAGTCAAGAATCTGCTTTTCGAGACAAAGCGCATCCTCCATTGCCATCAAACCGCTGCCCCACTGTTGGCGGAAAGGAGCCTGCAAGGGATGATAAATCGTGAACAAATTATAAGCTTCGCTTGTTTAGCCTAAGCGACAGAATCTGAACTTGCAAGAATTTCGGATCCAATATGTTCCAAGCCCGTATAGACGCCACCCAGTGGGGAAGACATGTTTAGACTACATGTCAGGGTTTACTTGTTGAGTAAATTTGTATTCCTGGTGAGATCTTTGAAATTGTACTCTCAACTCCCTGCTTGAGGAACTCACAGAAATGAGTCGAGTAGGAGGAGTGAAATTGAGGTCATCGAAATTGAACCGCAGGTCAAAGGCTAGAAAAGGGCCAGAAACTCTAGGGTCAGGTATTAAAGAGAATCTGTGGAACATGTGGAATGATATGTTGTAATTGCGTAAAGAAAAACTAAACAGAAAAATATAGGAATTCGCTCTTGGGGGTTTAAGCTCAAGACATCCACAGTCCATACGGTATTACTTAGACTCAATCCGGGACTGAATCCCGTGGGGAGTCAGCGAAGACAAATTTGACATCCTCAACCAAGGAGTAATGGTCCAACAGACAACGACACACAAATCATGTGCAACTGTTTTCATTGCTTACACTTGGTCATATTTTGACGATCAGCATAAGTACTTACAGGAATCTGTTGGAGCTTGATCTGTCCACCTCTTTTGTTTTGGTATTCCATGAACTATGATCAGACAAAACACAAAAAATTAAAACTTAATAGATATAACAAGTGAGTCGTCGTGTGTGCGCATTCTGCTTCTCCAAGGTTAGAGACAATCTCCCGATTTTCGTTTATCTAGAAAATTGCATGAAAATGTTGGGTTTTTTTTAGTCACACGATGTTCGACACGATGTTCATGATCATGCATCAATCACGTGATTTGTATTCTCACAACAGTGAAACGCTGGTCGGTTTGTTTTAGTAGTATAACATAAAATTTACATTTACATTTAAGAAATCTAGATTCTGATTATAGTACTATTAGATACTTCAGTATAACTTATAGATACATTATGATTGACGTTTCCTGGGTACTGACCATTTGCGCATGCTCTGCCTCTTCTGCCGCTGCCTTTTTGAAAAATTTCTGGAACCCAGGGAGAGAGATGTCGTCTCGACCAAAGTGGGCAGCCTGAAAAATCAAATGTCATTATTCAAATATCTCACCCAGAGGATTCTCTTTGTTGAAAGATAATATCAAATGCAGGATTATGTCACGCAGTATGTTATTCGATCGTCTTTTACCGTCTTGATGTTACGTAACCCATTTTCCCCTTCGTTTCATTTTGCTTTGTGTGTGTTGTTTAGTGAACCTTTATTCCCAACCATACAGATAGAAGCAGCAAAGAAAATATGGCACAAGAGGGGGAAGGGGTTAGGAATACTTACAATAGACGTATAAGTGTAGTGCGCCAAGAGTTCTTTATTGATTTGTTCATTGATCTTCCCTTCCAGGCTTTCCATGGGGCCAGTTCTACAGAGGTGATGTTCCTGGGAAACTTTGCCGAAATAGTCGTATTGCTTGCCAAATTTCCAGTAGGACTCTAGCTTATTCTAAAATATAATGAAATGCGAAGACAGCCGGAAGGTTACAAAACATTTCAGGTTCGTAGCAAGAGAGACCCATTATGATTAAGGCGGGCCCCTCGGAACAACACTTTTATTTAAGAAATTTTTATTCTTCGCTTTTAAAGTTGGCATTTTTACAACCGCAGAGCAGTACGTTTCGTTTCGTCTTTGAAATCCTTTTCCCCGGATGCCGATAAATAGTTAACGGTCTTAAAATATGCCGTTATGTATCTCAATCATGCCAATCCGCGGCATAGAATGATAGATTACCTTGTACTCGTTATTGAAGGACTCCCCGCACTTCGTACGTACAGCACTGGCCAAATGAATCCCGACCAGTACAAGTAAGGCAAACCCGAAAAACTTCATATTCGTGTTACGTACAGGTCCGTACAGCAAGTCTGATGGAGAAAATGATAAGGAATATTGAGCAATAGTACATTGTACGAACATCAGAGGATCAAACTTTATGTCTATCCTACTGCTAAACCATATTCTAAAGTTTAACGATCAATTAAAATTTATTATCAAGTATCTAAGATGCCACGTATTGAAGAATCAAAGGGGAACCAAGTTATGCTCGAAATGAGACGAGATCAAAACCTGCTTTTGACAAACTATTTCTGAGCAGGGTAGGATCCTACAGTACTGATCACACTTTGCTGCTCTAACAAAGTAATCTTGGTCATTAATTTCAAGCAGCTTCAGAGCTTCATATTATAAAGAGACTAAGATTATCTCTTGTGATCTCTGGAACAAGGGTTGTACAATGATTTTCTTGCTCGGTTTCACAACACTCAACGGCTTCACTGATTCGTTCGTGTCATAAAATACTGCTCAGAAAAAGTGACTCTAACATTAATTTTGTAATTCTCAATACACAATACGAATCACTCTTTTCCTCACCTTTGCTTCACAACCTTTCTCGAAGAGGATCGTTGGGATACTGAGCGAGTTCAGTGCTGTGTCAAGTCCGGTAGGTGATCTGTGAGCGACTATGGTGCATCTGATTTGATATAAAGGTCAAATCAGGGTATATCATATTCACATCCAAAAAAATCGCGGCTGCAAAAATCGGTTTCGAATTACAAATTAATGATTGAGTACTGGATTCTATTGATCCGTTCCAATCAACACATGGGGTCGTCAATAAGCATTCTTAAAAAAAGAAAGAACTCAGATGCAGATAATTTATTTAAAAGAGAAAAATCAGGTAACGAATGCTTGAAATATCATTTATTTGTTTTTGTTTTTGATGTAGCCTCCTTTGCACTGAGAAGAAATTTTTAGGACAGCCACTAAGGACGTCTGCAAAGGAAGCTAGGTCTGATTATGGTTTCGGAATATGTTCTAACAGGAATACCGTGTTTGGGTTTTTATAATACAGTTGACAGATTGCACGTTTTACATGATTCATGCCTCGACCCGTGCCGCAGGGAGGCTAAGTGCATGTGCCCGTGATATGATCTCCCTGCGGTCTTAGTAGGGAAAGTTATTCTTTCTAAGAACCAATCTCGTACCCAGAGCCCTTATTTCTTCCTGCGCATGCTCGTAGAAACGTTTTTACGACGAATACCAGTATGCAACACCATACTGGAATTTTTAGTAAAAATAATTCTACGTCGAACACTATATTACCAAGATATTACAAAACATTTATTTCGACGCATTCAATCATTTTATTGCATTTATTGACCAATGGAATGGTGTAATAGTATGAACCAAGAGAACTTTCTCTTGTATACACCTTATCTCCTTTCTCTTCTGTTTTCCACTGTCCATTCCTTTTGCTTAACAAATTAGCATTGTCTTTATTCAATTTCAATCATCAAGTTTAAATATCAAGAAACCTTAGCTGTCTTTTCTAATTATCTTTCCCTTCTACAAAATTTGTTCCGCCTAAATACTATTAGTTAAACAATAAAAAAAACTGGAAATCCCTAGAAAAACCAAATTCAAACAAATAGACCCAAAGTGTCTGCGTTTTCTAATATCTAATTCCCGCTATAGACCCCTAGTAACAATTCCCATGAAAGCCGCTCAATTCAGAAGACAAAACAATTCACTTTTAATTCTCATGAGTAGAAATTTATTGCTGTCTTCTGAATTGATGGTTTTCACGTCGGCCATGTTGGAGGACTTTAACAAAGGAATTGTCAATGAATTCTTTTGTTATATCCTCCAACATGGCCACCGCGTCTTTTGTTATTTAATTCTCTTGGGAATGGTTGAAAACCATCAATTCAGCAACACTGGGAATATCCTGCGAGGGATCTCAATATGCTATTAAAAAAACTACGTTAATTGGCATTAATCGATTTTTTAAAATGACGTTTTGACTTCAGGCCAGTATTTTTGACGTCATCCTCTCATTTACGAAAAGGTTGTGCTTCAGGTTGGTATGTGACGTCATTCGGTGGTGATTTCCTTATTTGGCAAGCGTTATTTTGTCGAATTGATACTCGCCCAGTCCATCTCCAATCCTGTTCAGCGTGTTGATGTAGTTAGCAAGTTCCTTGATGGATTCGATTTGCTCATTGAGGAAGTTTGACTCAATGAAATCCATCATCTACAAGGCAAAAAAAGAGTTTATATACAAATAATAAGAGATAAAACGAAACTACTGTCCCGCGCTTCCCGCGCGCCATCTTTGAAGGGAGCAAGCATCATGTATTATGGACCAACACAAAAAATAGTCCTTGTTTTCGATAGTAAAAACATTTGAAAAGGATGGATGAAAATGGGCGTAATTTTACTTTGCCATTGCAGAGAGACAATGTCTTTCCCTTGAGTACTGTTTCTTCGTTTAACAGTAAACTCTAAGGAAGATTCTTATTCTTAGGAAATCTGACACGTAGTACGATTAAGATGGGTTTATTACACCCAAGTTGAATGGGTCAACTTTGTTATTGTTACATGGTTCACTATAACCGTGATATCAATATTGTAAGTTATACCAACCTGAAAATCGTTGATTCCTGAAGCGACGCTGTGAAGATCAATGAGATGTTGGTTGATCTCTTTCTCTAGTTCCAGAGCTTCGGACATCGCCATACGCCCGTTTCCCCATTGGTCATTGCACGGTGCCTGACAAACAAGGGTATGATAATGAAAAGATATGGCATTGTAAAAAGCAGTGCAAGGAAAGGCAAGGCAAGGCAAGGCAAGGCAAATGAACCTTTTTCAAACGTACCATAATTGGGTTTAGCTTAACACGTCCTCCACGTCTATTTAGGTATTCCATAAACTATAAAAATCAAAACAAACATATAACATTGATATCCATTACCCTTCTGTTTCGTAGGAAATTCATAAAATGACACTCATCAATCCTACCATCAGAGCGTGTTTGTGCTCTTCTTCAGCTGATTCCCTGAAAAACTTTGCGAATCCAGGGAGCATGATGTCATCTCGATCGAAATGAGYGGCCTGGAAAAAACCTTTCTCAGTTAGTATCACTCATTAATTAAGAAAAGCAAATAGTTCTACCGTTTTTCGTTTGCCATGTATCATAGCTAATTTTCATTTTCTCTTATTCTCCTTACCATTGACAGATAGTTGTAATGGGCGTAAAGTTCTGCATTGATCTGCTGGTTTATTTTCTCTTCAATCGAAGCAGAATTACCCCACGTCCATGCAAGGGACTTGCTGACAGTGGCATTTCCTTTAAAATATACATATATATATAAAGTTTATTTTTAGGCTTCAGGGGTAATTTCTAAGGAACCTGAGCAGGGGCGCAGCAAGATCTCCATTATTTTCACGTTTCGAAACGTCAGTAAGTTTTTTCATCTTTTCACGGTGTATAATTTACCTTTTCATCATTACTGTTTCATTAGAAACACCGACGCATCACACTAGTTTTTAGCTAGTTATATCTTTTTATTACTATATACTGCGACCATTTATATTCTATTTCAGACCTTGCTCTCATTGGTTTCTTTTGTCTTATTCTATCATATATACACTCCTTTCTACCACTTCTTTCTCTTTTACTCCGACGAAGGACTAGCGTCCGAAACGTAAGTTTTTTCATCTTTTCACGGTGTATAATTTACCTTTTCATCATTACTGTTTCATTAGAAACACCGACGCAGCTCACACTAGTTTTTAGCTAGTTATACCTCCCTACGCTAGTGAACCTAAATATGATCTAAGTACTCTTACCGTAGATGTTTTGAGGTGGATTAATACTSCATTTCGTCTGGTTCTATTTGTTTTAGTGAAAACAAAATAAATGAAATTATTTACATAAAGTGGTTTTCTTTTCATATACGTCATCTGACGTCATAAGGTCTGTCATGTGACTCACAGAGAATCCGCTAAATCTTGGCTACTTTTTCATAAATCTGGTTGGACATATCTTTCACGTTTCTGAATTTTGTGGTGAAATGTTTTTGGAAATAAAGTCTGTCCAATGARCCCCCGCGATGCTGATCTTATTATGGCGAACCTTTACCCTTGGCCAGAATATTTTTCGCGAGAGGAAAAACTTTTTGACAAAGGTGCAAATTCAACAACGATGCGAGGGGGAGACAATTTCCAAAACAAAATGCTCTATAAATAGTTTTTGAGTTTTCGTTGCAAAAACGTTTTGTTGAAGACTAGGGTTACTTTTTTGCGGTTTTAGTCGCGTAAACTTTGAATGCAGTTTTCAAAAGTAACGCGCAGCGGAAACTGAGTGGCTTGGCTTCCAATACTGTTTCCCACAGCTGGTGAAAATTGTATTATGCAACAGGGGCTTTAACATTCGCGTTTGAGAATCTTCAGTTTGAGGCTTATGAATGATGCTAGATGATACAGATGATAGGAGAGGACTTACCCTCAAATGATCTGCCAAATTGCAGACACCAGCAGACTTAACTTCGTTTACCACAATAAATACCAGAATGATGGAAAATAGCGCAAAAAAGCTGTTGGCCTACAAAAATAAAGTAAAAGTATACTCAATATTTCAATGATGAAGAAAAAAGTCATGAAGATAGTGAATTTTCAAATTTTGAACTAATTTTTCAGTTTGGTTATGTAACAACCAAGGTATTTCATGTCATCGGTGATAACTCAGCTAGAAGGTAACACACTGACAGATGACACAAGATAGACAATTCTAAGAACAAACCACAATATTCTTTAATTACAACGATCTTTAGGATTTCAATCCGAAAAACCATCTTTAGGTATTTGCTAGGTAATACAATTGCGCGATCGTCTTCGATTTTTTCACTTGAAAATTCAAGGTCAAACATGTATAAACAACTAACGAAAGCAGGGAAACAAAAGAAAAAACATATTTAGCTCTCGTACGTGATGCTTCAAGTAAAATGTACTAATGTTTAATTCCAGAGATTAAATATATACCTACCATATTTGATGCTAGCTGAAGTCAGACCAAAGTACTAAAGGTCTAGATAATTGTTGCCGAGGCTTAAAAAGGCTGGAGCTCTGGTCAATGATACAATTATGTCGTGCCTCTCTTGATAGTCTCGAAAACTTGCCAGTACTTGTCGTCAATAAATGCGCAAACCGGATCTGACCTTTGTACTAGAATGACTGCTGTTAGTCAAACCAATCAGGTCTTGTCGCAATAGAGAGGGCATCCTGGAAGGATGTTATATGGACGGTCATGCGCAGACATTTCCCAGCGTTTTCTAACAGATTGACATCAAGAAATGAGTCGCATTCAGTCTCTTTTTAGTAATGTTTAGAATATGAGTGGTCGTTTTGTATGATCAGTTCAAAGCCCTGATGGTCATCGATAGCTTATTGTGTTACACTTATGCAATGTAAGATTATATCTTTGTTTCTTTTGCAGGTCACTGGGTAGCCTGCGTAGCTCGGCCCTAGGGGAGGGGGGAGGGGGATAAGCGGTTCGGATTCTCATTCCATTTGTTTTTGCAAACATTTCATTAGACCATTCTGCAAATGGTATCCGACCATTTCTTAAATACGTGCAGTAATGAAAGTGAATGAGATTCTTCTTGTATCAACTTTTTTCCTTCGTCGGTTGGTGGAAAATGCCCCAGGGCCGAGAAGACATTAGAGTCGAAATGAGACGAAAACTAATACGGCTGGAAAACAAATCCTACGTACCAATACCAAATTCCAGCTTTTTGATTGGATCATTTTTCATGTTCCCTTATTGGTCAACGGGTTACGGTTCAGTTTTGATTGGATCATATTTCATGTTCTCTGATTGGCTCGACATGTATTATTAGATTAGGTTCTTTGTCATAAACATGCAGCAGAGGAGCCGCAGAAGAGCCACAGAGGACACAGAGGGGTAAGCAGGCCCGGATGAGGCTGAAACTCTGTCTGAAACCAGTAAATACCTTCGACTTGATTTTAGTTTTGCTTGCCCTTTTCGGAATATTGGTCTCAAACTGATACGACTAGCTTACAGATTTCGTCCTACGTGTACGTATAAAAATGACGCTCGAGTCACGGCACGGCACAGCTCAAATCTGAAAACGTAATCTTGTAATGAACGAGATGTAAATGATGAGAATTATTTTATAGAGGATATTCTGTTTGACCCTTTATGCTTCTCGTACGTTTTTAATGATAACGCGTATTTAAAAAGTTTTTAAATCTTGTACAGTGCAATCTGAATAAGTCAGGAAAAATTAAGCGAGGAAAAGGGGATAGATTTAATGAAAACCGGTCAAAATTTCCCCCAACCCCACTGGGCCTAATTACAATTTAGACCAATCACAATGAACACAAATCAACATTGAGAGAATTAGTAAATTCATCTCTAATACTTTTTTACTTTTCCTACTTCACGCAAAATCTAGAAAATAAATTATTTTATTTTATTTAATATCTAAAGTAATTCTTTAAGAAATTTAACAATGTTAATCTCAAAATTTATTGATAAGAATTAATAGGATTTTTATTCAAAAATCGATCGATCAAGATTCATTTTCTTCCTACCTTTAATGTTGTTCTACCGTCCAAAGAGTTAGGAGCATGGTGGAGAATATTCGTAAGGTTTTTATATGATGGATAATGGTTTGATTTCAAACGCATCAGAAACTACTACAGCAACACAAAATGAGCTAGACAAGACAACAAAAGGATCTACCAAACAGACATCGAAGCAAAACCATCAAAACGACCAGAATTCAATAACGTCTTTTCAGACTAATAATGTCGTCAGTTCACCATCGGCTTCTGAACAAAACTCTCAAAATTCTGCGTCTTCAGTCCCGACATCTATGAACAAACCTGGTAAGATTTCTTAATAAAGATGTTTTTTTACTCTCCCTAGACCTAGATTCTTAGCAGCATACGTGTTTTTAAAATATAGCTTGCCCGCTTCTCGATCAAGCGCGTGGCTGTTCTGAGACGTCTACGAAGTATAGGTCTATTTCAAACAAATGTGTTGATTTTAGTCCCTATCCCGTCGCTTTAGATAGTCTTAAAGTTAAGGTATGTATATCTATCAATGCAAGTCTATCAATGTACCATCAGTCTGGCATTGAAGTTTTTCTGCACAAGTTTTCCAATCGTACTGCTTCATATTATACATCCAGAGAAAAAAATTCACAAATGATAAGAAGGAACTCTGTAGATCTGATCTGAACTTATTTCTGTTATGGATCGAAAGCCACTAAAAATTCGTATATGTGAATACAAAAAATTCAGATACAATGTCTGCGAATTCCTTTATTCAAACCTATACCAGCTAGAAATGTAAAGTAACTTTGTAGGAGCCTTTGTGGATGGGTAAAATGACATAAATATTGTTTAAAGTTAATAAGTGTAGTCCCATCATGATAAAATATATATAAGCTTATTGATATAAAATTTTGAATTTTTGCTTTTCTATATTCTGAAAGGAAAATGATAACATAATGGTGTGAAAACATGAACGTTCAAAGACGAATAGAGATACTATTTTGAATTTAACAGCTGTTTTACTTTGTACTTATTTTCTTAAAATAATTTTCAATAGATTCTCACAATTTTTTCCTAGCAATTGACTATTTTATTTATTTGGCCTTGAGCCAGAATTTCACTGAAGCTGTAAATGCCTTCTAATTTGGAATGAGTCATTTCATTTTCATCATTAATGGTTTGAGATGTCTTATTCAAAGATTGGTAATAGTATAATTTTCTAATAAAAATACAATAATAATGCTGGCTAAATAAGATATCTCATCTCATCTCATCTCAGTGGCAGATCCAGTATTTTAAAAATGGGGAAAAAGTTATTGTGATCGGTGAAGGAAGGACTCGGGTGTTCCATAGAACCCATGGAATGACCACTGGATCCACCACAGATCACATCACAAGGACTGTAGAGAACCAATGAATGACGAGGGCTTGAATTYGAAAATATTAGCAATTCTGAGGTTAAGGGAAAAACTGGGTCCATTTAGCAATGCAGTGTATTTTAGGGCTGTTTTAGGGGATGAAATAGATGCCATCTTGGAAATATTTCCCCCATGCCAACTCAATAACCCAGTTTTCCCTTAACCTCAGGTTGGCTAAGTAGACTTGAAGCGAAAAGAGTTAAGGGTGAAAGCCCACTGATCTTCCCTCTCTGCTTTCCAAGTATAAATATAAATGTCGTAACATTATTGTTGAATATTGATGGCATGAAAATGTATATTATTTTTCAGACGTAGTCCCACAGTCTGTTGTAGAAGCCATAATTAATCAAGGATTTCCAGCATTGGCCAAGACAACAAAGCCGATTCCTGCCAGTGTTTTTTCATATCGTTTTGCTTCTCCATCCAATAACCAGACACCATACTACATCTCTTCTGACATAGTATTGAGGTAGGCGGCATATGCTATTGTGTATCAGATGGTAAAGCAAGAATAAGGGGTGCAGAATCACAGTTAAAATTGTGTGTGTTTTTGCATAGGAGGGAGACTGTTGAGATTGGAAAATATAGCAGACTAGTAYGAAAGACTAATGGTAGGAAGGCTGAGACTTGAAAATTAACAAAAAATCCACCCAGCTCTTCCCTCACTGCAGTCAATGATAGTTTGTTATTTTACATGCACTTTTCATTTGGTTGAGGAAACTCAGAGTAAATGGTACACCAGACCCTATGCAATGTAGTTTTTACCTGAAATTTGTGTGTTATAATGTTATTATTCTGTTGTACATATTGTTTTCTAGTGGCGGAATAGCACAACAGACGAGGAGAAGAATCGTCCACAATGAAGGTTTGTATATATGTACCTAAATATATAGCAATAAAGAATGAGAGAGAAAGCAAGGGAGAGCTGATATTCTCATCTCTATGGACAGATAAGCAAGGCTTTCTTACTTTTGTTACTTTCTTTTTATTATAGTCGAAAGAAGAAGAAAAGATAAAATTAATGGATGGATAACCAAATTAGCTGAAACAATTCCTGGATGTTTACAAGGAAAACAGGTAGAGAACCAAGACTTTTGTATGGAATTTTTACCAGCTTATTGGCAAGGTTTACTGCAATTTTCATAAGCATGCGAACTCTATGTCTGCAAGCTGCATGCTGAAATTTGGTTTTACACTGCCGTCAATCAAACCTAATCAGTCGGTACCTTTCATATTATTGACTGGCAGCAGAAAAAAAATTTCAGCATGCAGCTTGCAGACACAGAGTTTGCATGTTTATGAAAATTGCAGTAAATGATAGAGAATTTTCTCCCTCCAAGCCCTCCAGGAATAATATTGAACTCTATTTTTATGCAAAAACTGTGCAGTGTCTATTGGTACACCAATATGGCTACCTTCTCACATGAGTGAAAACGCTCTATAGATATGCACATGCTGATTATTGAAGAAAATTGGTAACGATCTAAATTCTTGAGATTTATTCGTCAAAATATCCTGTATCTATGCCCCATCTTATTTTTGGGTGTTCGTATAACCTTACTAAGGTACATTTTTGGTTTCAGAGTAAAAATTTGGTCTTAGAGAGGGCTGTGGATTATTTTAAAGAGGTGAACAATAAAGTGGCTCAGTTGGAGGAATGTCAGCAGCAAAGGAACAGCCTTGGTAAACTAACTAATATATTTGCGGAATGGGAGGATACCAGTAGGTTAACGCTAAGCTGTTGACCAACTTGGATGATTGTCAGGGTAGCTGCCGTGGTCTTTAAAAAAGGCTGTGGGGGGAATTGACCAGCATTTCAAAGATATTATCCCTAGAGTTGAGCATCTTCATTTCTGGTAGTGAGGAAAATGGGAGAGAATGGGGAAAGTGCAGCCTCCTCTTCTCTCTCATTTTTCCTCTTCATCTCCCTCACCCTTTTCCCGGAGAGTCCCTTTCCTAGACTAGAAACTTTTTGACCTTCATCTGTTCTCATCATAAACATCCCTCCTACAGCCTCTGATAGTTAATATATTCAAAATCTTGAGGCAACAATATTTTGATATATGAGAAGCAAGCAGAACCCATCGATTTCATGTTTCAGACTACATAAATAGTGCAGTAATATTTTTGCTGATTTCTTTCTAGTTCTAGACAACCAAGCACTCAAGCAAAGACTTGAAGTCCTCCAGAAACAGAACGACAAATTGCAAGAACTTCTTCGTAAGAACAATATTAACGTACCAGAGAACCTAGGCTGTACTACTTCGACTGCCACACAATCTACTCAAAGTGTTACAATTACCAATGAACACCAACCACATTTTTCTGGCCAATTAGGGGTCTCTGATAACACCGTTGTTACATGGATGACACCTGGGAAGACACCAATGGCTACCTCTTCTACTTGCATTAGCACTGCTACAGAAATTAGTCCAAGCTTTAGTCAATCAGTAAAGGAAGTACTGATATCTCCAAGCTTATCAATTGGGTCTAGTGTCTCCACAACAAGTCCTGTTCAACAGCCAAATTATTCGTCGTATACTGTTTCATCAATAATGAATGAGCTACCTGAAGGTGTTGTCTCACTTGTAGATAGTAACAACACACAGGAAAATGTTCCTTCTTCTGCAACGTTGACAGTTGGTGTGAATAATACTGCTGTCAATAATACTGCTAGTAATAACAGTGTTATGTCAGCAGCCGTTCCTGTTGCTGTAACTAATAAATTAAATACCCAGACACTTGGTTCCCTTTGTGTTCCTGAGGGAAGAGCCATAATGGGTAGTCAAAATTGTACTGTGCAAGACGTTGAAGCTCAAGGAAGTAATGGAACAGGAACAGTGTATCTTGCTGGCAGTGGAGGAATTATCACACAAGGCAAAGGGACATCTGCACCTCAGGTTGTCCTTTGTCAGGCACCAAAAGTCTCAGGTACTCATGGGTCTGCTTCTATTAATGTCCCTAAAGGCATATTTGTGGCCCCTGTGGTGACACAGAGTTCTAATGTTCTTAACTTGTCCCATCAAGCAGCTCCAGTAGTCTCCAATAATAACATAATTATTCGGACTCAAGGACCTATTGTAACTCTAGGTAATCCTGCTGTACCAAGTGCACCTGCAACAGCAAGAAGCATATCAAACAAGCCTTTGTTCAGCAGTTCTCTTAATGGCATTAGTTCTACAGAAGCATCTCAGAAAAGTACTTTGTTACAACCTCAAGGAGTTGTCGCCTTGAATAGATACGTAACAACAGTTCCCTCCACAACCACAAACAATCCAGTCAACCAGGGATTTCTTCCCATGACAATCAATCAAGGTGTATCCATGGCAACAGACAATGTATGCGTACTTCCTTCTAATGCCTTACAGCCAGGACTAGTGATACTGAATACAAATACTGCACCTGTAGTTAATTCTATTCCCCTTACTTCTCAAGCGTTGTCAGAATCAGCTTCAACACCTAGTCATCTGATAACAGGAAACTTGACTTCGGGGCTGGTCACCTTAAATGTACCCCCTAAGCCAGTGGGTGTGGTCACTGGAACACCCAATAAAATACTTCAACAACCCCAAAATCTTGTTGCGGTTAATATTCCTCAGGCGGCCCTGCAGGTAAATTGCACCACATCTGCAACCACGACGTCTTATGGCAATGCCTTGGTCAGTCTGCCAACATCATCTGCTAACTTTACCCCATCATCTCGAACGGCATTTGTTATTGTTCGTAGTACGCAGCCACAACAGACTGTACACTACACCATCCCTTCCCAGGCAGTCTCGCAAATCAACTATAATGTAGGAGAGATGAGAAATGCAACGACAAATTGTGTCACTTTAATGTCAACAAGAACCACTCCTTCAACTGTTGCACAACCAGCGTTATTTCAAACAAATACGGGAGTTCTTCAGCCTCCGTGTCCATTTTCGTTCAATGTTTCTTCAAGTACTGGCTCTGCTATTAGCACAACCACTTGTGCACAAAACAGTCAAAAAAGCTTCTCGTCGTCCTTGACTAACAGAACCTCCACTCTTGTTTCGTCACAGCCTTTCACAAAGACACCAAAAAGCGTAAATGCCAAGAAGAGGCCTTCAAGTAGATCACATTCAAATTCAAAGTCTAAAAAAGCTAAACAATCTAAATCAAGCCAACAGGGCGTTTCTAATTCGACTTCAAATCTAACTAGTACGTCATCGACTTCCCAAGTCTTGACATCTACAAGAAATGAAACGAATGAACCACACAGGAATCCCAACTCGATGGATATCTGTCAACATGAAGATATGCTGAGCATACAGAATTTTAGTATTAGTAGCCTTATACCAAGTATTGATGCACAGACATCAGCAAAGTCCAGCTCCCCCCTGAATACTAAGTTGTCTGATAATGTCGTTAGGACGACCGGAGACAGCACAAGACAAGTTAGAACTTCACAACCAGCAAGTAGTAATCAACGGTTATCACACAGTATTGACTCGTTGACTGGAAGAAACAATGTCATTGGACAAGCTCAAAACGGTTTTCAACAACACCAACAGCAATCGCAATCCAACATTCTCAGCTTCTCGGCCGAGTCGTTGCTGGGGTCTGGTGACGACCTCGTTCCTAACATTCAACCAATCACCTGCAGTAACGCTGCCACCCACAATTTTAATAACCAGAATACGTTTTCTATTTCCGCGTTTCAAGAATCTGCCAATGACGGGACCATTAATCAAACCTTCTCGAATTTTTCCGCAGAAGCTCTAATCTCTGAGAGCGATTTAATTGGAATCTCCAATGAGCCTCAGTCCTCGCGATCAAACTGCACACAGGGAGCCCAAAGTGGAAAACACACACACACCAGAACTCAAATGTTTTCTGATTTCTCAGCGGAGTCTTTGATCAATTCTAGTGACCTTGGATCTGGTCTTTCATATGCCATTGATAATCTCATTTCGAGGTCTGATAATAATGACAACAGTATTGCTATGGTTAGCGTGAATCCCAACTTGTTACACACAGCCACATCCAGTATGATTCTTCCAGACAAAATGAATCAGTCCATGTACAGCACAAGCATACCAGTAACACCCATGTTACAAACATCAGTGTATCCGCACAGCACGGCCATGCCCGTCACACCTATACTTAAGAACCACTCACTGACTAGTAACATGGATTATCAAAATACTATCAACACTACGTCTACGGATCTAACATCTTACGGCACAATGAATATGACGTCATTTTCAAAATATGGCTTCTCGAGTCCACAGAAACAACAAAAAGATATCTTTTCGTATAAACCTAACGGTACGGTAACCCTCACCTATCCCACAAGCTCCGTGACTACGTCTCCTACATTCCTTAAGCATTCTGTGGACAGCATCACTGCTTCGCAGCATAACTCAACCTCAACGACAGGAGCTGTGGCTTTCAATTCCCCGCTTACAAACAATGTGGTTTGTCCTACCTTCAACTCATTGTTCTTTGACCAAATCAGTCCACAGCAATTCCCAATTGGCGGGAATTCTCATTCGAATAACTTAAATAAAACCTTCCAAGGACCTACGATGGGGAGCTTTGCTTGATTGTCTCCATGGTTACTGTTTTAATGCAACGTTGAGCTTGTGCATTCTTTACTAGCTTTACCGTTGGTGTTTGTGAATATTTAGACACTGATTCGGGGCTAGCCCTGAGTAAATGAGTTGTAACAAGAAACACAGCGATAATTTTGAACTCGAAAATGGTATATTTATATTTATATTTATCTTACCAATAAATAAACTTAATCGAAAGATTAAAAAATACTTGAATCATATGGCTGTACCCCTTGAAGGGCTGCCAAGTCGTTGAATAGATACAAAATATTTTGGATTGCGTAAGAGGTAACATAAAATATAATGTCAAAAAAAATTAGTAATGAAAAGATATTTTTTCTAAGGTATATTTATCGTAGGCTGTATAAGTCATACGAAAATAATTTTTTAATACTTTAGTATTTAACAGATTTGCTTTTGTAACGTTCATTTTCCATTTTAGTTTTCCCGAAACTTTTTCAGGTTTTACTCGCAGAATAACTCAAAAATGGAAGAAAGCTCGGTCTGTAAATGCATTTCTATTCCGTTCCCCATATAGTACTAATAGTAGAATCTTTTGTTGAAATGTCATATGTTTGTTGTAGGTAAAGGATACGTTTTGCAGCACGTTTTCTTAATTTTATTTTTTCTGAACATGAATTTGGACCCAGAAAAAAAGCCAAAACTTACAAGCACGTTTCAACACGGTACTACAACACCCGGAAGTAACATGACTTCCACGGACGCAACACGAGCTTACAGTTTTATACCTCTTTTCAAGTCTCTAAAAAACGTTATCGATTTTACTAATGATTAAAGGCTTCTCAAATTAAAGTTGCAAGAGCACATGCCATAGCTACAACATTTTAGATATTCAAAATATAATTGTAACACTGAAGTAAACTCTCAAACTGTAACTTTAAATAAAGCGAGTTTAAGAGAGTGTTTTTGTGTGTGTTTTTATCAAGGACTCAAGAATGGAAATAGACGTGGTAAATTTTGGCCGGAGAATCATAAAAACCTCTCAGAGATTGGTAACAACTGATCTTTATAGTTTCGCTTTAATATTATGGACCTTTTTAGCAGCTTCGTTCACATGACATTCCCTTGAAAATTGTTCTTTTATGACAACCATAAAATATTTACATATGAAAGAATCAACTCCCAAGAGTGGCATCGCATAGTCTGAAATGTGCACAACAAACAACGAAGCTAAAGAGGTCTATTCCACTGAAAATAAAGATAATATGAAATTTAAAAGAAAATGAAAGGTATAAATAAAGGTAATGCCGGACGAAAATGTCATTACAACTTCTTAAAATCTTGAATATGTAATGATCGAACGTGGCGCAATGATCCCTGGTTGTTCACCGACGTCATTATCATTATAACGTCACAATAGAAATCAAATCGAGAAGACACACGAAGGCCGAGGCGGCGATGGGCTAAAGTTTCTAAGAATGCGCGCGCAAAATTCGAAAATCAGTTTAGAACTGATTAATCAAACGTATAATTTCAATAAGAATATTGTGTGAGCATTGACGAAGTGTTATTCGAGGAGCAATGTCTCAGCGATATGGGAGAAAAATAGCTGGAAAGAGAGGCAAAAAAGATGAATCCGAAGCGCATGATTTTCAGACCTTCGGTGGGTTTAGCAAGAACAGCGATGAACCATTTGGAGTACGAGAAGGTGGGGATGGCCAAGCTTCGCCAGTAAACGAGTGGCCGGATATATCCGATGAAAGCGAACTCCCCCTGACAATACACTCAGTTCCGGTTGGTGGGGTTGATAAATCGAGGTTTGGAAATGAGCTTGGAGGCATAACAGATAGAATAGCAAAGGTATTCCTTGAGTCATATTAGATTGTTATTTTCGCGAAAACTCCAAAAAATGTTACTATCATCAAAGTAGGTTTTACGCACAGGACTTAAGGAAAAATTTATTTAGACTTTCTCAAAGTATTCCTGGTCCTCTTTAGTGCCGTTTTACCGCTCTGTGCGCGCTCACCTTAGGTACATCTTTGAGTGATACTACACAACACGATTTTTGACGCTACTTCACTTTTGCGTTAAAAGTTGTCCTCTTGTAACATCAGTGCGCACGGCTGCACAAATCAATGGCAACAGTTTTAAGAGTTTTGAAGGTCGTTGAAAAACTGTAACATTTTGGCGCAACACAATATCGTTAACACTGATAACCACGCGTCGTACATGTTACACTAGAACAACGTTGCGAATCGTCTCGTGTAACAATCTTAAGATGTTTTAACCTTTATTTCGATTGTCATTATTGCAGCTTTTGCACGAATACGAAGCAGTCTACGATGACGAATCGGTAAGTACAATGATAACAGAAAACCGAGGACGAAAGAAAAATAATAAAATAAAAAATACATGAATTAAAAAAAAAACTGGTCATCGTTAAATAATAACAAGTCGAGCGATCAATGTCCGCCATTTTGGATGACAGAACCCATCATACACATGGATTAAAGACAAAGTCCAAGTCACTGACAGTTGTATTGGTTAATATGAAATTAGTCCCAAAAAAGCCCTCCTCTGGTCATATGAATTTAAAACATCACCAGACAGTTGTGAAATGCGCTATATAAGAACACTGCATTATTATTCATTATTATTATTATATCATATTCAACTTAATTTTTGACAGTATAATGTTTATTTGTTTTTTTTTCATTTCCAGTCTCAAGGATTAGTAGGAGCAAGTGTCACCGGTCAGGTATTAATTAATGCATGCTTCTGGGCAAAAGTCGGATTAATGCAAGATTATCTTGATTCTCAAATAGCTTCGAAATTTCATTAATATTAATATTAAATTCAATATTTATGATTAAGTCAGTCTTACATCAACTTGTCACGGAGTGATAACCCGTTCCAAAGACTCATGAGAGGGTCCTGAAGGTCTGGGAAAATGGGATTTTATGCACTGGGAATGGGATTCACGAACAAAAAACAGTCAATAAATGGGAATGGGATTGAGATTGAGATTTGAGAAAAACATGGGCTGGGATAATGGAATTTGGTCAAAATGGGGGCTGGGAAATGTGATTCTGACCCCCTTCAGGACCCTCTCATGAAAAAAACACTCAAAGCATTTATAAAATAACTGAAGAATCACTTTTATTGCTAACCTGACTTCTTCTTTTCTTGTTGTTCTAGATTTATCTAGATAATATTCTTTCTGATTACTACGCCTTATGCCAAGAACGAGAAGAGGTAAATGCAATCTGTAAAAATGCAAAAATGCAAAAATGCAATGAGGCTTATATATAAGCTTTTAAAAAACACTGAAAGTGTATTTAGGCTTTCCGAGGTTGTGCGGAAAACTGGTAACGAGCAGAACGCGCGCTGAATTATGAGACTGTTGGACGCCATTTTTCTTTTTACCCCATAGGTTCTACTTTTTCAATCAAGTCACATTTATTTTGGTTGTTAGTCTGTTATTGAGGAGAGTTTGCTAAGCTTTTCGCTTTATTGAAAAAATAATCTATGATTCATCGCATGTCCTACTACTCGTTACTGACCAGTTTTCCGCAAACCTCGAAAAGTCCAATTACTATGATAGAAGTATTTGCAAGCTATGATTTCTTTTATTTTGACAAAGTACTAATGTCTAAAACGTCAGTCAAGTTATAGTTTTTTTGCACGGTGTTCAAGCTTCCTTATTCACTCGCTATGTTTTCTTTCATTTATTCATTCTTATTTTCCCCAGGTTCTCGAGTCACTACATGACGTGAGTATTTCTTTTCTGCGGTCTCTTGTATCCTCTTTTTATTATTATATTCGTGAATTTTCCACTCTTTAACCAATAATCTTCCGTTTCCCCGAACTATCATTTATAGCAGATAATAAAAAAAAACAAGTAAAAGTTGGGTTTTAAGAAGGGAAGATCAGCAAAAAAAATATATCACATATATCATATCTCCCTCTCCCATCCCCCTATAACAAATATTAATTTGAATTCAATTACCTATGCATGTCCTGCTAATTTCGCGTCGCGTTCGACTATCTCCCAGCCCACCCCCAATATCGTTCCCAGGGGTGTTATTTCTTACTGCGCATGCACAGCGATGAAATTTCGTCGATCATGCGCAGTAAAAAATAATGGCTCTGACAACGACACTACTTCCCATTTATTGTATGAAATAATCTCATGTAATCATAATAATTCAAGAGAACATGAAGGACGCGTCCTTTGTGGTCTCTTGGATAAGTAAATATCTATTTTCTCCAGTCACTAGACTTGGATGAAGATGAAATACTGGATCGGGTAAGTATAACCATACTTTGCATTGTACTACGTATCAAACCCTACTATTTAGTTATTATTTATCATCACCATCACCATCACCATCACTATCACGACCACGACCACCATCACCATCACCATCATCATTATCATCATTATCATCATTATCATCATTATCATCGTTTTATTTTTATGATTCAAGCTTGAAAGAATGACCAAGAAAAATAAGGATGACATTGAAGGCTCAGATCGTGTAGTCAAGTAAGAGAATAATTACACTAGAAATGGTGCTCGTTTGTTAAAAAAGAAATATTACACACCATGGAAATCTATTTCAACGTTAAGACATGTCGCATAAAACTGTTGCGAAGAGGGAGCTAGGGGTTGGTACCGTGAGAGGGTTGCAGTTTGAAGTAGTTGTTGATCAGTTAGGGAGTTCCACCTTCTCAGATAGAATATATTCTAATGTATTTGGTCTTTACTTTGATTAGAGAGACTTTTGATCAAGCAAAACAGAAATTCGAGAGATTGAGGGAAATGAACAAAGAAATGATGCTTTTGTCCAGGCAAGGAAAAGATGTCAGTGAACTGGAAAAGTAAGTAATAATTAAATCGAAAAGTACACCTAAAACTGTCGTTTATACATTCAAGAATCGATGCTCGGTTTATCTATGAAGTCACTTCATTTTTTGACACTAATATGACGTCACTTCATTTTTTCTTGATCAACGTTGAGATGACGTCATTTTAATTTTAAACAATGATATGACGTCACTTTATTTTTCACTGCAAACATGACGTCACCTTTCCCCATTTCCATCCCTTGATTCACCCTTGCCTTACAAATTTTCTTGCTATGTTTTATGATAAAATATCATCTGACATATTTTATTCTAATTAATGATGAACAGAGAAAAGAACGAACTTCAGGAAGAGCTTCTGATGTACAAACGAATGGCCGTGCAACAAAAAATGGGCAGTATCTCCAAATCAAGTAAGACTAAGTATTTCATAGTGTTCTTTACATAAGGTTTTATATTATAAAGCGCATTGAGATCTTTTAGGAATGCGCTTACTAAGAATATTATTGTTAGTATTAATATTAATATTAGTATTTATATTATTATTATTATTATTATTATTATCATCATTATTATTATTATTATTATTATTATTATTATTATTATTATTTAGCATAAATAGAGGGTTTACACAGCAGCCATATTTAACTATATATATTTTTTCCTCTTGGGTGAAAAACTTTCTTCATGAACAAAAACTGGAATGTATGTCCAGGAAATTCAATGCATTCAAAAACCACCAGGTGTGCCGAAACTGTGGACTTGTTTATGTGGCTTCTGTGCTCCTCTTTGCTCGCCAAATGGTTGTTGACGTTAGAAATATATAATCAACAGGAAGAAAGAGTTTACTCAAGAAGGACGAAAGCCTACAGTGGAAACTTGTAGCAGGAGAAATGCTTGATATTGTCAAGTGCATTAAACTGGAAGGCAAGACAGGTAATGCTCAACAGGGGAGGACTGAGTAATGTTTTAACCAGTTAAACGAGAGAGGGGGCGAAGAAGAGTACAATAGGAGGAAAGTGAGAATAGGTGAATAATCGGATGTTGGGAAATGAAAACGTGCAGCAAGAGGAGACAAGATACGAAGGAATGGAAAATAGAAGGAAGGAAGGGCAATGGAATGGGAAAGTGGAATGTGTGGAAGGAGGAGAGCAATATTAGAAAATTGAGGGGAGGGGAGGGATAAAAATAAACCGGGATTGGATGGGAAAGAGATGGAATGGACTAATCATTTTTGGAGCTCATTTTAAACGCCTTATACTTGTTTCAGATAAGGTTCAGCTAGAAAAAGATTTAAACATGATTATACTGGCGATGGGTGGTCTAAACGAACAGATTGAAAAGTAAGTTTGAATAAGGTACACAATAAGAAATTTCTGGAAACAAAGCTTAACATTTATATGTTTTTGAATACTTAGGTTGAAGATTGAACTGTCAGCAAGTGAAGCGGTATGTGCTTTTAAACTTTCCATAGTATTGTATATTTATGTATATATTTTGAATATGTGAATGTATACATAAATAATTGTATATATTGAAGTCTCTTGGTGCTATTGACCACCTATCGAGCAAGGTACTGGCCCAACCACGTGGTTCAAGGGTGGCTGGTGACTAACCACCCCTCTTTGTAGGAATAAAGGATATGTTAAAACCTAAGAAGCGCTGTGTGAAATGCCTTTCTAGGTAAAAGCCTACCCCATTAAAATCTTTCTAGATCCGCAATTGTGACTAGAAAATTTTCATCTATGCAAATAACTATTTCGTTATCGCTAATAATATCAGTACTATTATTTCACTGCAGAAAGTAAAAAAGCTTCAGGAAGAGAAGACCAATCTGCAACAGCAGAATACGATGAAGGAGCAAGAACTAAAGGACAAGATTCTGGAAATGAAGAACTGCAGGAAGGTACGTAAATTTACACTACAGACTGCGCGAATGCTTTACCTTTTCTTCCTTCAGATAAATTTTTAAGGTGGATGTAACTTCTGTTAGGGGTAACGTGGGAATCTAGCTAGCCTTGAGGGACGACCGCGCGTCCTACGCGCATTTCGACGCGAAACTTTCAGTTTCACAAAGTTCATAACTTCCGAGTATAACGAGAGTATAATGAGAGTATAACGAGAGTATAACGAGAGTCTAACTAGAGTTGGGGGACGAGCACGCGCGTTTTGGCGCCAAATTAGTTCACGCCAAACCTRCTAGCGTAGACGCCACTTCCATACATTTCTATTTTTTATTTCTAATTCTAGTGGCGTGCACCAGCGAAAACTCGAAACCTTTGATCGCAGAACTGGTATATACGTTCCGAGTATCATAAACTACACTGTTATCACTTATAGAATCACTCTTGTATCTGTATTCCACATTTTTAGCTTATCAAGAAATTGGAAGAAGAGAAAAAACAAGAGACAGAGAAAGCTTTGGTTAAAGAACAGGAAGAAGATAAAGCAAAGGTTGGTTCTGTTTAAAGTCTTGATGCTTATCAATTACCTTAGGCCCCGTCCACACGTATCCGGAAATTTGCGTATAAATTGTACCCGCAAATTTTTTTTTGCGGATACGGGTTGCGTCCGCACGTGTCCGGAAATTTTTGTATCCGTATCCGGAAATTTTCAAAAACGGTCTCCAGAGTGGACATTTTCGAATACGCTCCGAATACGGATACGTGTGGACGGTCGTCTCCGCAAATTTTCGAATACGCTGATAATAAGAAAAACTATCCGTCAAAGGGACTAGACACTAGCGTGCATCGGGACGGATCAAGAAATTTCCGGATACGTGTGGACAGTGAAAACAATTCGAATATGCTGCGTGTGGACGCGAACATTTTCATATCCGCAAAAAAAAATTTGCGGATACAAAAATTTCTGGATACGTGTGGACGGGGCCTTATTTGCTTCAGCCTAACTACGTTTTGTCCATTTCAGACCACGCGTTATTCTCTTGAGAATAGGTTTCTTGGTTTGAGTTGTATCCATCTTCATCTTTTCTCATGTGCAACTGCTAAAAAAGAAATAATACTCTAGGGAATGACACGTGGTGTGAAATGTAAAAACATTGAGCCAAAGAGAGTCTTAAACTTTACCCCCACCCCCTCTAATAACACTTCCATTCCAACACCTGTTCTTTCCCAGCACTACATGAGTAACAATTAAAACCTGTGATCTTATCGGTGTTACAGGCTAAAGAAGAAGAATTCAAACGACCAGATACTTTTGATGATATTATGCAGGCGCAGTTGAGGGACCAGAAAAACAAGGCTTTGAAATTAGAAGAAGTGAGCAAACAAAACATGAGGCCATTTTGTTTAGTGGTAGACCAAAGACAACACAAAAAAATATTTCAACCTAATGTTTAAAATTGTTTGTATTTATTTATTTATTTGACCGATTAGTAGTTTTAGACTAAGACCATTAAACCTCTCGCCCTTATGGTCTACGAGTCAATAGCCCATGAGGCGAAGGGTTTCGGATCTAACTGTTAAGTATGAATGTAGATAAGTACAAATATTATTAACATTACATACCGTTAGAGGTTCAGAGCCTGTGTCTCCAATTATGTTTGCTGTTCCTTTTTTGTTATTTTCCATTGGTCAGCCATTCCTTTTTCTTCCAGCAAAATAAAGAGCTTCTGGCACAAATAGAAAGCTACAAACAAGAAGAGCAAGCAAGAAAGGTTAGTGCACAAATACTTGATAAAAATATAGGTAACTAAAAATGTAGCAGCCCTAATGGACAAGCCAAAGTTTTTGTTTTCTTATGTTAGGAAACAGAAAGCAATTTAGCTCAGATGTTGTCAATACCCGGCATGGCAGACTGTTCCACCTGTCAGCTACTGGGTCGACAGGTTCTTACCAGCAGAGAAGAAATAACCCTTCTCACCTCCAAGGTAGAGGAACTAGAACAACAGCTTGCTGAGTTACGGGAACAGCTGACGCAAGCGCAGGAGGTACGTATGTGAATGACGTCATTTACGATGTACAATATGACATCATTACTGTGTACAGTATGTCGTCAGAGAATAGATTTCACTTCTCATCTCGTCATGTCTAGTTTTATGTAAGTTGATATAAAACAAGTGTGGCTTGTTGGTGAGTGACAATGAAAACATTTATATACTTGTATGACGTCATTATCGTGTATAGTGTGACGTCATCACTGGTTGTGAGTATGTGTGATGATACAAGCATTGATTGTTTGGTGAATGATGAGGTTTATATATTATTATGTTTTTCTTTTTCACAGGAGTTAGAGAACGCAATGAAATCTCAAGTGGATGTAATCAAGAGAACAGAATTTATCGAAGGACAAGAAGCTACTTCAGGAACTCCTTCACCTACCCAAGGTATTTATATAGTTGCCAAGCTACTGGAGAGGTCTTTATTTAGAGGGTGATGGGAAGTGGTGAAAAAGGATAGACATAATAGCACACTTCGCAATAAGCAAAATTTCAAAAAAATGATTCCATAAATGGTTTGTCTAAAAGTAGCTTTTAGCTATGAACATTGATGTTAAATAAAGGTTATTCTATTTTATCGTACTGGTTGGTGGTAGACGGTCGTGAGAGAGAGAGAGAAATTAAGCGAAATCTAATTAGATAAGACTTGGACTGCTTGGAAAACTATATATTTATTTAGTCAGACTCGTATCCAGTCGCTTCTCTATCTCCTTCGCGCGCATTAAAAAACCTTGAGTGACGACTGGGTACGAGTTTGTTATTTAGATAATCTGAGGTACGTTTTAAATTTTAGAAGTTTCACCTGAGAGTCCAGAGATTAAGATCGAGTCACCTAAACCAGAAAAGCACAAAAAAGCAGGTAAACCGGTCAGGAAATCAAAACTAAAAAAGGAAACTGATTCCAAGAGAAAATCAAAGGAAGCTAAACGGAAGGTGACTGAAGCCAAAACCAGCGATGGCCCATCAAAGGCTGCCAGCGAGGAAGAGTCGAAGTCGTCAGAAGAAGAAATCCAAGAAACTGAAGAAGGAAAGGATATCGATGGAACTGGGAAAGAAGAGGATGAAGTGGGAGAAATGGGAATGGAAGAAATGGGAATGGAAGAAATGGGAATGGAAGAAAGGGGAAAAGAACAAGAAAGGGCTAAAGAGGAAGGAACGAGGAAAGAAGAAGAACCAAGAAAAGAAAAGAAGACAGAAAAAGTAGAAAAGAAAGACAAAGAACACACATTAAAGGGTGTAGGGTCAAGACAGCATGCAGATGAGAATTCTCATTACGTCAAAGTCAGGGAAGCAAAAATGGTTACTTTATGCGACACGGTAAGTTCATTCCCACGGATGCAAAATCTGCTTATCGCTCTAAGGGATTCAGTTTCAATCATTCAATCTTTCGGCATTGATAACCCCCAAAATAATATTTGTCATTTTATTGGACCTCTGGCTACAGCCCTGCATCTATTTACCGAACTCCTAGACGAGAATGCATCCTTTTTCTCGAACTTAGAAAAAGCCCATGTTGGTCGCCCATTTAAATAAAAGGAGAGTTATGGAAAATCTTTCAATTCGTAATGACTTCTTTGAAATAGGAATAAAGTTTTCTTTGCACTACAGGGCACTCAAACAGGATATCAGGATCGCTTGGCAAGTATAAGCATGGGAGGCACTAGACGTGACTCACTGGCCTCGTGGATGGCGTCTAAAGATCGAAAACACTCCCTGGCAGATGCCATAATGTCAAATGCTCCTCCTAGTGTAATAGACCAAGAAACGTCTATAGCTGCAAGTGTCATCAATGAAGAGGTAAATCTGATTTAATTATTTCGGCTTTAAGTGGAACAGAATTTATGTTTTAAGATATTTCTAGAGTCGAGAGACAAACACATAGCGGACATGTTGGTGGTATTGACAATGGAAGCTAATGAGAAATCTCTTGTTAAAGACCACCAATATGGCCGTAATGACGTGTCGTGCAAACGAAGATCAGCCGTAAAATACCGCTTTGTTTGCAGACTCGTTTACCCAGGGTGAGTCTCATATTAGCGTCAAAATCTTCACAAATACCAACTGTAAAGTCAAGAATGCACAACGTCAACAATACGAATACTTTGAAATTCAAGGGACAATCACTGGAACAATGAATATTATAAAAATTGCAAGGGCGTAGCCAGAGGGCAATAAAAAAGCAGCTTTTTAGAATGGATATGGTATTTTTTTAAAAAACGTAAAATGTTATGCCTGTTTTTATATTTATAAAAAATAAAACGTAAAACATAAGGCCGCGTTTTTTTTTGGTTCGGCGTTTCGGGGCGCAAACAAAATGGCGGATTTTTAAATTTTCCCCTCCCCCTTACCCTCCCTCGGAACATCCTGGCTACGCTCCCGAATTCGAAACTGAAGTATTTTTTTGACAGAGACAGAAACGAATGGAAAACGAGGCGATAAAAGAAATTTTGACTATATTTACTTACTCTCTTCAGGCAGACCGGTTGTGTGAAGAGATCTGTAATTTCATGGAATTCGGTTACGATCTCCTAGATCAAGAAGGTGAGAGTTGTTTCTTGGAAGTTAAGGAACTTTACCTCTGGGATGACTTTGAAAATCATATTTTCTCTATAACAGAAAAATTGCTGGAGTCACAAGCAACCAAATATCTTGGCGAAGAAGGAGGAGTTGATGATGTTCCAGTCCTTAACGAGGTAAGATGCACCCTAGGATTCGTGGCCTATTGCGGTTTATGCAATCGTGAACCTTAGCTTATGTATATCTCAGTTAAATGGGAAATCGTATACCGTTGGTTTAATCTACTTTTTTACGCAGCTCGCGCAAGGCCATGGACACGATACTCGTGCAACAAGTGATCGACGTCAAAGTATTTTCAGTGATGTTCTTGCAGCCAGTGATCTTCCTCCAGCTCCTTACAGCAATGCTTTTCCTTCAAGAGATCGTCGACAAAGCATACATAGCGATGCTTTACCGACTTCGAGAGATCGTCGACAGAGCATTCATAGTGATGCTTTACCGACTTCGAGAGATCGTCGACAGAGCATTCATAGTGATGCTTTACCNTTACCGACTTCGAGAGATCGTCGACAGAGCATTCATAGTGATGCTTTACCGACTTCGAGAGATCGTCGACAGAGCATTCATAGTGATGCTTTACCTACGAGGAATCGGCGTCAAAGCATCCACAGTGATGCTTTACCTATGAGGGATCGGCGTCAAAGCATTCATACCGATGCTTTACCTGCCAGAGAACGACAGCAAAGTTATTTTGGCGATGCCTCCCCGGTTTTAGATCGTCTACAAAGTTTATATGATGTCATCCCGGTTGGAGATCGTATGAGAAAACGAAGTAACATTTTGCAGCTAGACCTTCATCGCGATGGACCGATGCACGAGCAACATGGTATTATGGCAGCTGATCGGATTGGTCTACTTGGGACTGATGCTTTACCAGAAGTGGAAGACAAAACTATCGAAGACAAAAAGCATGGTAAGTAAAATATTTCTTTTAAAGATATCCATAGAAACTTTGACCTTGCAGTGTAGTGTAGTGTAGTGTAGTGTGGTGTGGTGTGGTGTGGTGTGNCTATAGCGCATGCTGGCATGGGAGAACGACTATTCGGCAAGGACGTATTCTGCGACGTACTCTCTACCACTCAGGTTCCTTCCCTCTATCCACTACTGATTTCACCCTGCTAGCATATAACTTCATGGCTGCAACCTATAATTAGAAATAACTAGGCGTAGGGTATAGTTTCGTGAGTTTCGGCCAATCTCGGCCCTCGTCCCCCAGAGCCAGCATTCCTGCTGGTCATCAACGACCATGAGAAAAAGCATCTTTTGCGGTTGCCTTAACACTAACCAACCAGTCAAGATCATTCAACTATATTTTATTTCTAAAGTATCAAGATACTTCTAAGATAATCACAGTCTTAATACACGAGTTCAATAATAAGAATGCGCCAGTTCGCACACGCATGCGCGAAACCGTCTACCTATACTCGATAACCGGGTTAAAGGTCGTTAAAAGGTACATCAGTCCCTGGCTAGTGCTTTACTTAACTTACTTTAACTTTTTAATGTGTAACAATCAATTGGATAACAAACAAAAAAACAATGGAAATAATATCATGTACTAACCTCCATTAGTCTACTAGCTGATTCACGACTTAAAACCTAAGACTGACCTATAAAAACGCTAATTAAAATAAGAGCCCACAAAATATATGATATTCTTATTTCGAAAAAGTTAGTAACCTGCTGAAAAGGTATAAAGATGAGACCGGCAATGATAATGGGTARATAGCTATTGATGGACTTGGATCTTAGTTCCAGTTGACCTCATGTGAGTATGCATGCCCATCCTCAAGCTGAAATTTGGTTATCAACTTTATTGAAATAGGGAATGGAAACAGGCTACGCTTAATGTAAAATGCTTTTCTTGACAGCAAAATATTAGGCACTACTGCTGTTTTTAATACGAAATGTATAGCAAAAACCTATGAATGAAAGCGAAAAAAATGACAATGGAAGGAGTGCCACGAATCCAGTGACTCTTGCTTGTGCCTGGAAAAAAAAGTAAGAGCAAACATGAAAACATGCGGAAAACGAATTATCATGTGTGTGTGTGTGTGTGTGTGTGTGTGTGTGTGTGTGTGTGTGTGTGTGGGTGTGGTGTGGTGTGGTGTGGTGTGGTGTGGTGTGGTGTGGTGTGGTGTGGTGTGGTGTGGTGTACACATATTATATGTTAATAGCCTTTTAATAATCGGTTTTAATTAGAATTTTTAAGGAGAGGTCAAGGAGTAAGAAAATTATCTGAAGATCGAATAAAGAAGCAATTCGCCTCAATGGCTCAAGCTGCTATCAATAGTAAGTATGAGTTTGGATTGCCACTAGAAGAAAATTGTTGTCTTTGGGTTGTCCTTGGGCTTCCTGTGTTGGTCCATAGATTGAGACGAGGATCATGGTAATCTGTAACATGATATTTGGTATTTTCTTCCAGTCATTAAGGATACGGGTGATGCCCTTCAGTATCAGCTAAACGAAAGGGTAAGTAAAGAGGTCTCTAGTTATTTTTTTGAGGTTTCATGACGGCATCATAAATAGTTTAGCACCGGTTACCTTAGTACCAAAAGTTATAATATTAATTTTTCATGCTTTTGGACACTATTTATGTCTTTATTAACTCAGCGAGTTAGGCCTTAAAATTATAAACTAATCTCCTCCCTAAAGACATGCACTTTATTTACAGCTTGGACATTATGAAAAGTTTTACGAGTTGTGGAAACAAACTCGCAAGGTATGCTGAAAATAGAGTAAGCCATAATTATACACTTCATGTCGCAAAGTCAATCAGTGTTGCAACATTTATTTTTTTCTCATAGGCTCGCCGCCGCTCAATACGACGGGAACCCGTAGCAGGAAAGAGTGTAAGTAGTCAACCGAAAGAAAACATAAAGTTAGGATCAGGTCCCACGTCGAACTTCACACGATGAGCCAAACCTAATTGAAACAATAGATAACGAAGCGGTCTTCCTTGATGTCATTATAAAAAAATATATTATTTATTTATATTATGTTTTGTACATATTTTTCTTTTATCTTGTAAGCGCATTGAGGCTTGCGAAATGCGCAAGAACTGTTAATTTATTAAAATAAATTAAATTAAATTCATTAGGTTCGGCTCATCGAAGATTAGATTCATAATGTATTGTGAAATAGACCCCTCTAAGAATTATCATGGATTCGAGTCTAACAGGGGGAAAATGATAAAAATACGTCGAAAAAAATGTAATTTTTAAAATTTTTGCTCGTATTAGCCCCTCATCCAAGATAATTTGAAAGGGGTCCTTGATTAGATTGTCAAGTGCTACTGAAAACGAAAGAAATAATTACGGAATGCATAGCGTAAACACCTCATAACTTAAGTAGTGTAACTGGAGTATGACGTAACAATATTGTGTTCTCTTTGACTTTCAGGTGATACAGTCAGAACCGGAAAGGTCGGTCCATACGGTTATTTGTTTGTTTGATAATTTCCTTATAGTTGGTTTGTTTTCGTTTAGTTTTTTTAAACATTTCGTTTTAAAGAACAAATAAAACATTTAATTTACTCTTGGCGGTCGAAAAACTGTAGCATTGAGTTTTGCTTGGAACACACTACAAATTGAGGCGTGGTATTTTTGATTTTTTGCGGGTGTAGGTGCCTGGTGGGCGTTGCTTAACTTTTAATGTATTCAAACTTATTCAAACAGAAGTTAGAAACTAACTCTTTCTTAAGGCAACGAGTGAATAAAAACAACTTACACCGTGTGAATAAGGTTGTATCAATGCTGACGTTTCGGATGTCACTCGAGTAAACTGCGGCGAAGGCCTCACGCTCGAAACAACACATGAAACTTTTTCACATGATGTTTACGTTTTACTCCTTATTCGCTTATTGCATACACCGAATTGAAATATGGCGACCAATTTGAATAACTGCCTCTCTTACATACGAAAACGCTTTTATTTTTCCACGTGAACACTAGTCAGTCAACAACAACAGGTATCCCGTATTCAAATTGGTCGCCATATTTTGATTTGGTGTATTCAACACACCAACACAATCCTAATCAATAACCGCTACTTATTCTGAAACATTTGTTTCGTTTGGTTATTTTATCAGTACCGTGAAAGTCTGTCATAGTTCAGTTTCTATCTTTTATCTTAAGGTATGTGAAGTCGAGAGGAGAAGAAGAAGAAGATGAAACAAAGGATGAGGCAAGTCAAATTAAAAGAAAAATTAACATTTATTAGTATAAATACACAGGTGATTATTGAAAATCTCGCGCGCTGATTGGTCGAGAAACTCAGATTATCACACGATATCACCTCCAGCGATAATCCAAAATGGCGGCCAGCCGCTTTGTTGCTGTTACCTGAACAAATGTGTCTTTTATCTTCTTTTTTTCCCTTTTTTTGAAAGAATGACCTGCGTATTTATACTAAAACAATTTTATTCACCTCAGGTTCAGTGAGTATCGGGAATAATAACCTCAACTTCGTTTTGGTTATTATTCCCCGATATTCACTTCGCCTTCGGCGAATAATTGTTAATTATTTAAGTTTCGCTCTTTTTTTGAAGTAATGCTTTTTTTCATACTACAGGAGACTGATATAGTACTTCCTCTAATTAGCAAAGTTGAAAGTATAGAAACGCCTATCGAACAAGGCTTTATGATGATTGGTTCCAGTAAGAAGAGCAAACCACAGACACCCCCTCCAAAAATTCCACCGGCAAGAAAACGTGGTAAACCAAAAGTTATGACGCGCCAACAACAGATGATGAAGCAGAAAGCTCTTCTTGAGAGAGCTCGTATTGTAGAAACGAAGGGAGATACGCAAATTCTTACAGTAGAATCAAGTGGACATCAAAACCCGAAGTAAGTTATTATGACTATCAGAAACTTATCCTTGATATTCCAACAGGAAGTCACTCTTTATTTATATCAAGAAACCATCTTTACCTCCCCTCCCTCAAATTACATGCGTCATGCAAACGGTATTAGAATCCCCTAGGGAGGGTAGCCATAAAAGATGGCATGAGAAAAGAAGTTTCATCAATTTATCTACGGGCGAATATTTCAGTCCACGAAGAAGTCACCAGCTGTGTTACGAAATCATTCACGCATGCTATCGATATCAGGCATTATGCAATTCAATACTCTCTTGTGCAATTTCATTCCTCAAATTTCGGGTCGAGCCAAGGGATTCTAACTATTATCTTAGTAGGTAAGTCTAGGTTATATTATAAAATGTTGGTTGTAATAATGGAGTAAAGTTTTAAACTCACCTCAAACGTTTCGTGTTTCCAGGTCTCCACATCGTGCTCCGAAAGAAGGACAACGCAAACCAGCAGCTACGACTCCCAACCAGGCGTTCAATCTCCCATTCATTGCTCAAGGTCTTAGCAAACGTGAAGAACCAACCGATAATAAAACTATCATACCAAGACAGTTATCAACGGCTGAAAACGTGCAGAAGGTAATGTTGAAAGTCGGAACGACTCTTGTCTTTACTGCTCAAAGTTCAATCTCTTTGATTCCACCAAGCATTCATTAAAGGAAATAAATAAATCTAGTGTGCGAATGCCCATGAATATGAAAGGTTTAGCAATCCAGTCCCTCCTTTTTTGACTAGAAGCGAGAGAATCTACATTTTTACGCTTCTTCACCTCCTTTATTGTTTTTAATGGCGTCCAAGGTGCTTCAAAAAATATGGCGCGAAAATTAGACGCGTCCGCACTTTGAGACACAGGTAGCCCAAGTGGAGTTTTTTTTTTTTACAAGGGGATCTGAATATAATGACTTTCAGATAATGATTAATATTTAGAATTTTTTACTACTTTTCAGTCGTTATCCTCTTGGGACAAGCAAGGAATCCAGAAATACTATTCAGCAAACGATGTTCCAAAGAATAAATCAGAAATAAAAACTTCTTTCAGGAGCCGAAAAGCCAAAAACAAACTACCGAACCTTAACATAAGTAATCTCTTCGGTTCTTTTTGACAACTTCAAGCTAATATCAAATCACTGTAAACACTTGACTACACGTAACTTGATCGTCAAGGCAACCATTTCTCCGCCGCAAAAATGGCTGCCGAAATAACTGGCTTGAACGAGAACAGCAATCTGAAGAACAATCGCAAATTCTCTTGTAACTAACTCAATGAAGCGCTTGATAAAAAGCGTCAATTGGTACTTGGTTAAGGAACTAACAATCTAAAATTAAAACTGGAAATGATATTCAGATACATTCATATATGTGAACAAAGTCTTTTAATATAATTGTTTTTGGATATGACATTAACTTAACTGAGTTTGTCAAGTATACAAGTGCTGTATTGTTTCATATACGACTAATTATCAACTTTGAGAAATTAAAGACACATTATCATTATAATCCTTTGTAGCTCACACAGGAGACGTTTTGCTACGATTTTTCACCCCAAGACAAAATTAAATGAAAAACAGGTTCAGAACTGAAGGAAAAGAATTATTTTAACTGATAGAATACTCTGTTTTCATCTTCTTGATTTGTGTAACAAATATAATAAACATCTTCGTAGATGTTCCTATCAAAATTTTGTATGTGCAATGTTGCTTAATTATTATCTAAGATACGAAAATATTATTTGGTAATGTTATAATCAAGGATATATTTATTCACGTTGTGAATGCACACTTTCCTTGTTCTCATTGTCCACTCATTCCTTACGGGCCGCCATCAAGCAAAAGGGGACTGGGTGGATATATAGAGGTTAGTTACGCGTTAAGAGCTTGATATCGTTTTTGGTTGGATATATAGAGGTTATCACGTGTTAAGAGCTGGATATCGTTTTTATTCACGAGTTTCCATGACATCGCGAACGAGTGAGCGAGCGATATCAGATGGGAGACGAGTGAATAAACAAGATATCCAGCTCTCAAGTGATAACCTCTATATATCTCTTAGCATGTGATAATTTGTTTATTATACATTTAGGGTCGATAAAGTGACAAAATTTACAATTTCCAGTTTACCGTGAAGTGATATCGTATCACTTCACTGATATGGTTTTTATTCACGGCTTTATTACACTGATATCGACCGTAAATGTGTAATAAGACCATTAAGAAAGTATTCTCTTGAACCAGATTTCATATATTTTCCACCATTCTCGTACCAAGACGCTACTTATTAGTCAACTCGTCAAATGAGTAGGATCTTGGTAAGAGAATATAGTTTTTCATTAAGGAGGCTTATTACTTGCCCCTGGCCAAAAGTATTGCAGGCTCTGAGAGCAAGGAATTACACATTGTTACGCATAGTGAAGTCTAAATTATCAAACCTAGCAATGGATACAATATTGCGCAGTATTGCCATGTACGTTTCAGACGAATTCAGTCTAGATGACCTTCATTCAAACTGTTATGCTACGAATGGTAAAAAATGTCTGACGTCACTCCCCGGAAGATCGAGGGGAGAAAGAGTGGAAACCAATTTTGGGAACTCTCAATAAAGAGCATCAACACTGCACTACTTCACTCAGGAAAAAAAAAAGGGGATCAAATGAACATTTTGTTGCAGAAAAGTTCAAACAGTTGATTTCTTTTTCGACAACATTTTTCAAATCCCTTATAGAGTTGTTTCAGTAAACCCGTGAAAAAAGATTATCAATTTGATAGGCATTAGAAAGTAACACGTTTTAGTGTGAAAAACAATTCAAATCTTATCGATACCCTGAAACAACCTCTGGGCTGATCAAAATATACACCGATTATTAGGGATAGGTTGGCTTGAAACGCGAATTTTGGCAAGCACGTACGTAAGCATTTTAAAAACCATATTTATAAATCAACGCTGCGAGCCTTAAATGCCTATGCAAGATCATTTTTCACAGGTTTATTGAGACAACTAATAATGCGCACACTCGATGCATCTATACACTCTTCTAGTCGTGTTTAAGTCCGAACTACATCGCGTACTTTTATAATTACGTAACTATATTAAAGCCTCGCTCAATTTATCAATCAAAGTAACTGATATGTAAGTTTCTGAGATTTTTTAACCAGGTCAAACCTCTTGATTCTTTCTGTCACATTGTGATTAAGTTCTGTAATTCTTTAGCTGTTGAGGCGAATATGTCCATGGTTGAATTCTTTGAACGCACTACAACCCTTAGGAATTTTTACGATCAGCCAAAGCCTTCATTTAGACATTCTATTTCCTAATCACATGTATCTGTGAAAAATAAAAAGAATGGTCATTTTGTGCACTTGCGCTCCCCAGCACTGTCTAAGTTTGGTTTTGTAGTTTTCAGTGTACAGATGGTAAATCTGTAGTGCTACTATGAATAATGACACTGAGATAGTCAGACAGACAGACCTCAACACAATAAGAGGACTATTAGAGACCTTTAGCGCGACGTTCTTGCTAGCCCCTCAAACTGCAGTTCGACGTCAGGCGTTTTCGGTCAAACTTTCACTCACATTTAGCAAGGCGTCATAACGAAGTTGAGAATTTCATTTATCCTGAGCGTTTCTCTGTGTTTGCGGGCGTTTTTCTGGGCCTGGTCCCTAGCGGTTAGCGGCTAATCTGATGCTAAAGGTCTTGATTAACGCGACCCAACTCACATGTTCAGATTTTTGATGTTAACAATAAAAGATATTTTGTAGTTAGATTGAATAAAAGGGAGTGTGTATATACTTACACGAGTTGCTTACGTCTATAACCAGAGTTTCACTTCCGGTTGTTGCTTTGTCTCTCTCTTAGGCATTTCTTTCATCAATCTTTTGTCCCATCCAATACTTCTTTCCTGGTCTTGGTAATACCCTCCCATGCCTCTTTCATCCATCATATGCCTGTTGTCTCCTTCTCTTTCCATATCACGTCTGTTGCCTCTCATCTTCCTTTCGTCAAAGGAAYGTCTCTCCTGCTTATTTCTTCTCATGTTGGCTCGTTCTTCATCTTGTCTTCGTCGTAATTGTGCTTCGTCTTCCATACGCCTTCTGTTGTCCACTTGCCGACCATCATCGTACCTACTAGGTTCTTCATCTCTTGTACTTCGTTCATCTGACGAGTATCTATCAAGCGATCCAACAGAACGTCGTTGTCTTTCCATAGGAGTCATTTCTTCCACCGGTTTCCACATAGTTCCTCTTTTCACACCATCATCTTGGTCAAAGCCCAAAGGCACTTCTTGTCTGTATTCCGAAGGCTTCACCGCTTTTACTTCTCTTTCTTCTTGATATCGTTGTTGCAGTTCTCTGGGGTAGATAAAGCCATCATGGTATCCATTGGGGTACCCGTTGGGTTCTTCTGGGTGACTTCTTCTATCTCCTCCACTAAAGGACTTTGATCTGCCAACTTCGACTGGCTTGAACGTCCTGTCGTCGAACACTGAATCATCATGGGAAATCATTGTGGGTTGGGCACGTTGCACGACTGCTGTGGAATCACGTATAACAGCTCTTATGGGGACGAGTTTTCCTATTGGTACCCTCATGGAGTCTTGGTCTACTTCTCTTGGCCATGGTTCCATACCTCTAGGCGAGACGGGCCTGAATGCTCCAGAACGTGGCTCCGAAGTATCCAAAATTTGTGGAATTTGAGGATAAGCTGCTTGAACTTCGTTAGCCTCCAACGTGACTGCCACAGGAGAACGGTTTCGTTCATATTCGTATGGAAACGCTTCTGGTGCGCTTTGAGCAATCACGTCCATATCTGGAGATATATGGTCTTCACCTGGTATCCCGTCAATTAAGTTAGGATGCTGTAACGTTGGAGTCTCGGAGGCATCAACCTTGACAGCCAGTGGAACGCCCACTAGTACTGTACCAGGAAGTGGTTCTACCTGGAATTCATACTGAGACAGCGTTCTTCCTTTACCTTGAAATCGGTAACCACTGCGCTGCTTGCTTCGCACAAGAACACCAAGTACTATTTCTGGGAAGCAAATAACATCGACGATAAGTGTTGATGTCTCTTTTGGAACTGGTTCGGGAGGCAAGACCCATGGAGATACTCCGTCGGGCACGGATTCCTCGAGAACTGTTTCTGTTACTTGAATCTTTTGAGGCTCAGGAATTGGTTGATTTTCAAGTTCCTTGATGCGTAGCAGTAGCTCTTCGATTTCTTTACTTTGGTCTCTAGTCTTCGCGGTTTTGAGCTCAACTTCGTGGGTAAGAATAATGACTTCTTTTTCCAGATCTTCAATCTCTGCCTGTAGTTTATCACGAGTCTTGCCATCATCACTTGCATCCATCAGTAGTTTCTTCAATCGTATAATCTCTTCTTCAAGCTCAACGATGCGCCGTTTTAACTTGTCAATCTCCTCCTTGTCGCCTATGCTTACTTTCTCTATTCGTACTTCTAGTTCTTTGATTTTGACCTTGTAGATGCGTATTTCTTCTCTAAACCTTTTCTCATCATTGTTACTGTGACTGATTTTGATTTCTAATTCTGCTACCTTCTCTGCTGAGATACGCAGCTCTCTCTGCAGCTCACTCTTCTCCTTGTACAAGGAATTCTTCTCGTCGTCCAGTTCTTCGTACTTGAGTTTCAACGATTCGTACCTCTGCGGCCATTCCTCTCCGTCGATACCATTGAGCTCATTCCTCAACCTTTCTACCTCCTCTTCTTTAGCCTTTAGCTTTTTCTTTACCTCGTTTATTTCTAGATTCGAGGTTTCGCTTCTCGAGTTTCTTTCATACTCTCTTATTTGGATTCTCAAGGTATTGATCTCAATGTTTAACTCATCGTTTTGTTTCTTCGTCTTTGATAATCTTGAGCGGATATTTGTCAGCTCATCATCTGCGTCGACATAATCTTTATGAAGCCTTTCTTTCTCTCGCTTTATCATGTCACGGTCGCGCTCCAGACTGTCAAACTTAATCTTCAAGCTGTTGTACTGGTTCTTCCAATCATCATCTCCTTTCCGCTTATCCAGTTTTCTAAGCCGTTCAATTTCTTTCTCGTCTTCTTTAGCTTTCTTTTCGAGATCTGCAATCTTGGCTTTTAAAACTTTGGTTTCTTTTTCCAGTTCCGCGGTCTCGTTAATGGACAAGTCGTCAGCGTTCTTCAGCTCATCGCTCAGGAACCGTACCTCGTCTTCCAATTTTTTGATCTTCTTATGAAGAGCGTCGTTTTCATTGGACAGTTCTTCATATTTTCCGTCTTCAGGAGCTGTTTCTAGGAGCTTTTCAAGTTCACCGATTCGCTCCTTGTAGCGGTTTTCGTCTCGTCTCAGTTGGCTTATTATCAACTCCTTCTCGACGCCCTCTTTGCGAAGAGTCTCGCACCGCTCCTCTAAAATAGTGATCTTCTTGGTCAGCTCCTCGTACATTGTGTCATACTTTTGTGTCATCTTCTTCAACTCATCCTCAAGCCTTTCCTTCTCCTTGTTTGCGTCCTCTAAATCAAGTTTTAGTCCCTCTAGGTCACCAGTCATGTCAAAGTCAGGTGCGCTTGCTGCTACTGGAGCTTCTTCTACAACAATAGGTTTCGACTTCAGTTCTTCCAGCTCGATTCTTAATTGTTCATTCTCATCTTTCACCTGGTTCAGATCTTCTGCCAACTTCATGTAAGAAGCTTTGCCGCTTTCGAGAGTTTCTGTCAAAGAGTCAAGCTCATCCTCCAGTTTCTTGTTGTCTTCTTCCAACTCTTTCAGTTTTCTGTCTTTTTCTTTTATCTGCTTTTCTAGCTCCCTGATACGATCCTTCAGCTCATCTACTTTCTTCGAGTTCTCATCAGCTCTTGATTTCGCGTCCTTCAGCTGCTGCGCTAACCTTTCTTTTTCTCTGGTCAAGTCTCTCACTTCGCGTTCAAGTTCGGAAATCCTATTCCTCTGCTTTCTCTCCTTGCTGCTCAGCTCATCATTCTCCTTTTGCAGCCTCTCGATTTTACGTCTCAAATCGTTGACATTCCTTGTTTCATCATTGAGTTTGCGCTCAATGTTCTCCTTTTCCTTCAACAAGGATTTATAGTTGGTCTCATATTCCCGCATTTTTTCCAGTTTTGCTTTCAAATCCTCGATTTCTTTCTTGAGTCGGGACTCCACGTCTTCCAGCCGGTTCACACGGCTTGCGAGCTCATCTTTTTCTTTTGACACTGTCTTGTATTTTCCTTTCCAATCTTCAATCTCATCTTTGAGCTTTGCTTCCTCGTCCTCCAGGGCGTGAACTTGATCAAGAAAACCAGAGTTTTCGGCCAGCAATTCGTCATACTTTGTTTGCAGTTCTCGATATTTCATCAAGAGCCCATCATGGTCATCTTGTAGCGCGTCCAAGTCATTCATACGCTCTTCTAATTTGCCAAGGTCTTCTTCGAGCTCTGCTTTCTCTTCCTCAAGTTTACTCTTTTCGATCAGGAGTATCTCGATTCTCGCTCGTAGATCTTCGTTCTCTTTCTTGAGCTCAAATCTTTCTGCTTGAAGTGTTTCCAGATCTTGGAGTCTTGCTTCCAGACCACTGAGCTCGTTGAAGATTTCTTCTTTCTCTTTCTCGAGAGTTCCCTTTTCTCCGTCGATTTCATCGCACTTCGTTTTGAGAGATTCGATTTCCTTTAAGAGATTTTCTTCCCCGAGGGCTTTATCTTGACGTAAAACTTCGCATTCTTGAGACAGCGATTCACTTTTTTCAGCATGAATCACGAAATCCTCGTGTTTCTTTGTCAGTTCAAGCTTTAAGCTCTCCAATTCTTCGGTGTGTTGGAATCTCAAATGAATCAACTCTTCCTCCTTGATTTCCAGCTTGCTACGTAGTCCCGTACAAGTTACTTCGTACTCATTGATGCGGTCACGCAACGAGTTGAGCTCAGCATTGGTTCGTTTCTCGTATTCTTTCTGTTGCGCATCCAGGCGTCCGATCTCTTCATTAGCATGCTCTTTAACGCGTTCCAAGACAATAATTCTATCGTTGAGAAGACGATTATTTTCTCTCTCTTCATCTAATTCTTTCTGTAGATTTTCAGCTTGTTCTAACTTAACTTTCAATATTCTGTTTTCCTCTACCACGGTCTTGAACGTTATCTCGTGTTTTGACACGATGTTTTGGTAAAGAAAGGTCGCATCTTTCAACATCGAAAGCTTTTCTTCGGTGTTTTCGCACGCTCCATGAAGATGATTTAGCTTGTCCCGGGTCCCTCTCAGCTCTTCTTCCAGATCAAAAAGATTCCGCTGAGCTTCTTCAAACTTTAATTTGAAGTTTGTCTGGTCTTCGCTGTACTCTTCCACCACTTCTGTCTTATGGTGAACTTCTGTTGTAGTGTTGGTGTCGCGAGATACTTCATGAGTTTCGATGTTTGGGTCATCGAGATCAAGCAAGTACTGTCTCTTACGTGGATTTTGGCTTTCTGATTCCATATTTTTCCGTCGTTCAAAAAGAAACAATGACAATCTCGCGAGCCTATGATGTACTTCTGTACAAAGAATCTTGTACTTTCACGAACTTGTCTATAGTAAGAAAACACCAACTACTGAAGACGAAAACAATACAATTACCAGTCAAATAAAATCCTAAGCAATAAATTATGAATAATAATAAAACGAGAAATCTTGAACCTATTTTTTATATCCTATCAATTTGGGTTCGAGACTATAAAGATGCTCAAAAATGTCAAACACTTCCTCTGGATAATATCTTTTTTGACATTTTCCTTGACCGATCATACAACTCTTATAACTGAACTGGAACAGTATGCTATCCGTTTTTAATGCCTTTTGACGATATCTTAAAATAAAATAATTTTCGACAGCATATTATTGAACCAAAGTAAGACTATTTAATAGCAATTCCGAGCAGTAGCTTCACTCTTTATTTGAAAATTGTCGACTCGGGTTTCAAGACGGTTGAACGGCGTTTCCCGCGAGGAAATACTTCTCCAAAACAACACTAATCCGACACATAATCAAACCTCTAAAAGCGATAGTAGAAAACTTGGTTTTAAGATTTAAAAAATAGGCATATTTTTCGCTGGAAGGAAGCTCATATCGACCATTATGTTTACCTTAAGCGGAATGATCAACTAAACAAACGTAAACACAAATTTGTTACTCACAGTCGAGTGTGATGTCCTTGGTTACAATGCGGTTTGTGTGGTTACTATAAGCTTCTTCAAAAGCCTCGAGCAAGGCCACTAAACTCCAAGAATCGTAGCGTCTTCTCCTCAGCGAAATGGCCTCCAAACTATTAATAGTGATTGCTATTGTAAGTCAGACTAGAACGCTATGGCAGATTTGCATACATCAAGCGTCAACAACGTCACGCCTTTATTAATAATAAGAAACCTTGTAGTCCAGTCACGCGTAGAAATGACTCGCTTCTGAACTAACGCTCAATATTTGGCAGTCTTAGATTACAGAAATACCAAGTTTGATAGATGTTAAATGAGAGTCATAGGTTACTGCTTCTAATTTCTACGAACTTTTCTTTAAAAGAGCTTTAAAATGTTTATTTTCAATATCTTTAGTCCTAATTGTGAAGAAAAGAATAGAGCGAAAAAGATGCTTTGTTTTGACTGCTTCAGCCGTGATGAAATTTTACAACAGAATCAACTAGAAAATAAAAGACTTTTTGTTTGATAGCGGTGGGATGATTAAACGTAATGACAAAACCATTTTCTCCCACGAATAAGTACTTTGACTAATTCTTACTTAAGGAGTCACACAACTAATTTCATAACTTCTAAAACAATAATCATAAGACATAATAAAATTCCTCATAATTAATATAAGTGAATGTTACTTAATAAAACAAAAGAATAAATAATTTGTAGTCATTATTGTCTTTTTTTTTGCTTAATGTTGAATTTAATTACAATATGAACGAGAATTTAAACGAAAACTTCTGATGTTTTGGCCCCACATCAGGAAAATAAACATCTGAATGTTATCTTGTGGCTTAATGCTAGGCTTATAACTGAGAAAACCAGCACGAAACAATTAAATGATATGCATGACTCCTAAGATTTACACAAAATATCTTAAATACTTATTACTGAATTCTAAAGCATCAGTTATATATATGTATACATATCGTAACATCTTCCAAGAGAGTGCGTGGAGCTAGTTCTGATATCATTTAATCTTTTAAATGGAATGTTATTTACGGCAGCAAGCAAAACTCTTCAACGTAGAGGAAATTACCATTGTAAATTTTATTGCTGTCAAGCTTAAAACGGACGAAAATTAGGGATTAGTTTTGCTCGCACTCGTCCATTATCTTTATTTTTATCCAACTAATTACTTAATAAACAAATAATTCAAGTTATATTTTTAAACTTCTGTCTATTATTTCAACAACTTTTTCATTCCAGTCAAATTAAAAATCATACTATCTCATATAAATTATAAATTATTAAGAATAAATTTGAGAATTTTCTTGTCACAGCAACCATAATCATCATGTATCAAACCAGACTTCATATATTTATATAAAGTCGCGAGGTAATCCGATGTGAATTGTAAATTTATGCTGTAAATTATCGCAGGTAGGCAAGATGACTAGAATGCGATATGTCTCCCTAATTTCAAATTTATACTGTATTTCTAATTGAATTTCTTTGTATCACTTTTATTATCAAGAATTTATGTAAGTATCGGTTTCACTAACAGGTCCATATTCTGAATAGCTCTCTAAATATAAGTATAGTTTCTAGCAAATTATTTTTWAAAAACTCTCAAAATACACTGTGTTTCAAACTTGTTATATGAAACTCTTAGCCAAGTGCTCGTAATTATATCTGGTTACTCAGACGTTGCCGGATCATAGAGGTCGGTCTTAACTGATTAACAGCGCTAGTGACCAAATAAAGTGTAGGTAACAGCATGGTGGTCGTATTATGGAGGTGTCCACTCTTAAACTGAAAGAGAGAAGAGAGAGAGAG